ATTTTTCTCATCACTGCTACTACCTCTCTAATACTTTGGGATTTGAACTTGACAGTTCCAACTCTCTGTGCCAATGTGGTATGGCAACATGAATTGATGAACGTACGTACGAAGTTCCAGGTTGTAACTGGCTGATTAACTAAATCTATTTGCTGTCTTCGTCTTCCGGTTAGGAAGAGCTCGAGGACAAACAAGCATTGAAATTCTCATTATTTATTAGTACTGAGAATTAGTTCTGGGATAGAGCGAAGGTACTGGTCCTACGGGTCAAGTGATCGTACTGAGAAATACAACTGCTTCCATACTCATATCCTGATCACAAAATCTGCAATGCAATTTAAGAATTATTCTTTTTTTTCGCAGTCATTTAACAAGATACTACTATACTACTGACCGTAGCTACTACCTTGACGTGGTGGTCGGGCTTGCCTATCGTGATGACCCAACCGAGCTATACTGGCTGGAACATATGTTCCTGCAGGTACTACCATGCCAGGCTGGTCGATTGGAGAACGATGAGACTAAAAGCAGCTACCCCAGGTCTGAGGGCGAAGTCGTACTGCTGACTGCAGAGGGGTGTGACAGCAGTAAGGTATTCGCAGGTTATGGTTTTCGATCATAGGTGTCTCCGGAGCATTGTTCGTATATCCCGGGACACCCGAGTGAGCAACGCCGTTATTAGGAAACGGGTGCTAGGTAAGAATGGCAGATCAATAGACGCAGTAGTGACACTTCATCAGTTGCGGTGGTTGGGACATGTGTTGCGTATGCCTAACCACCGACTGCCGCGACGAGCTTTTTTTTGTAGTGTAGGAAAGGTTAGAAGAAAGTTAGGGGCGGCCAGACCAAAACATGGCATAAATCCATGAAGTCATTGACTAGTGGACTTAGCCAAGTCGGTAATTGTCGACTACTGGTTGGGGTCCGCGAGATGATAATAATCGATGGTCAGAGACCTTGAATGACATGGCTCAAAATCGTTTGCGATGTGGCGGTGCATTTATTCTTGTGTTCCCTCAAATCCTAATCTTCTGGATTCATGAACACTTCTACCTTGTCTTGTCTAAAACTTTTCTCACTGAATCAATACTTCTTGATCATAATATCTTCTAATCGTAACTCTCCGATTACTCCTAATACCTTTAGTAACCTCTTCTACTATTGGATTTGAATTGACAATTACATCTCTGTGTGCTGATGTGGTATGGCAACATGAACTGCTGTACTTACGTACGAAGTTCTACGTTGCATCTGACTGACTGACTGATACTTTGACGTAAGTAATTACTAGTAACCAAGTTTATAATACTTTTGGATTGGTACTTAAACGGCACAACTACACACGACACAGAGACTAGATTACATTAAACCAGATATACAATTAATCATAATCACAATAGAGAATATTTTATTCCACACAATGACAAGCTGTCACACTCATTGAGTCCGCGAGTAGAAATCAATAAGACAAGAGAAGTATCAGTAAATGCGGAATAAATAAAACTAGAATTCTTATTTAGTTGGTAGTCGAAGACCTTGATTGCATGCCAGTATCACTGGATACTATAGACCTTTTATCCCACCGCCTCCCATTTCCGTTTTTGTTTATATCTTTCCTACTCTACGTATTCGTCTTTCCCAGTTCACATAAATTTATGATTTTTTTGATCATGATGACAATGACCACACTACTCATATCTTACATATTCAAGTCACAATATTATTGTCAGAATGAAATTTTTCTTAGTTTGCACGACTTATTGTACTATTATACTGATTACAACTGGACACCTTTTTCTTGAATCATTCTGACCTTTATTAAATGGCCTTACGAACAACATAATCTCAGGGTATTTATGTCGTAGAAGTTGTAAAATTTCACACGAACACTTAATCTGTAGATCATTGAGTTTCAATGTAATATCGTGGATTGATTGAAACTAGACTTGCACATGATTAGATTATGGTTCAGTGATCTATAGATTTCAGTGTTCGTACGATAGATGGACCGAAATTGTTGAAGTCGATTCCCTGTGTAGTGTACTGCTGACTGTAGAGAGGTGTGACAGCAATAGTTGCTTTCCTTGGACAACCATCATCTGCATCGATGCTGCTTAGAGAAAGGGCTCGATCCTAAAAACGTCACACCCCCAAACCTCGCAGATTTCTGTCTTCGACGATAAGGTCACTTGAAGAATGGAGCTAACACATTAAAAACTTTCCCTCAAAAGGCTATGCGTGATCATCCTGAAGCAGTTGTCCTTCGGGCTCTTTGGTCACGTTGCCAGTTCTCAAAGACCATCATCACTAATCGAACTTCCTTCTCAGGTTCCTCAAGAAACACACTTCCATAGTGTGGGTAGCCGGGAAGTGACATTCGCCCTCATACTCTCGTAACAACACACGAGACCAAATTAGTCACAATCAAATCCATCCTATCCCTGTAAACAACCCTCTTATCTCCATGACTAATAGTTCTAATAGTTTTAAACATTTCAGCCTTGTCAATCCAATCATCCACTTCTATTTAATAATGTTATTAAATGAATTTATTTATTTATTTTCTTACATATAGAACATTTGGTCTATGGAATATGTTCCATTATGGTTACGTCCATTAACTGTGGTTGTTATATCATCAGATAGTGGATTTATTGAACCAGTACCTGATACAGTATCATTTCATCAAATTAAACGACATGCTCATTTATCATTGTTAGATTATATGCATCGTGAACATGGTGGTGATAATTCTGAGGAATTTTTAACTGCACAACGTAATTTTTTGCATAGTTGTGCAGCATACTGTTTAGTTGGTTATTTATTACAAGTTAAAGATCGGTAAGTCAGTCTAATTTTGCTGTTCTATTTCTTTTTTTCTTTATTTTGATTCAGTAGAGTAGATTATAACTTACTTACGCCTGTTGCCTCTGATGGAGCATAGGCCGTTGATCAGAGAATTATTTCTATGCTTCGCGTCTTTTTTAACGATTTGAATTTCTACGGGATGAAGTTGCTAACCTTTATGCCCAACCCTCCTCTTTTATCCGGGCTTAGGACCGGTAATAACCCTAGAAGGACTCCAGGAGGAGTTAGAGTAGATTATGGTTTTTACAAAATATGTTGTACTACTGTCAATGCATTTCGGTCATTGTTTCTATATATTATAGATAAGTAGTACTCACCCTACATTGTTCTTGTCTCCCTACGTTGGAAATATACATTTCGATAGACACTGTTGCTAACCACATAAATTAATGTAAATTTCACAACCTCATCGAATCAATTAATACAGTGTACTCAATGAGAAATCTTCAAAATAAAATGAGTGCACCTAATTGGCCAAGGAATAGTTTAATTATCTAAGGGGTAAGGTATGAACGCTACTGAGAAGGCTTAAATGGATAGATACATATTTATCTGAATAAGTGTACAGTTTTTTGCTTTTTTTGTTATTCTGTCTGCCAAATAATTTCATCTTAAGTATTTGGGATCATTTATAGAAAGTGTGTATGAGTATCAGCTCTCGGACACGGTATGTCACATCTAACAACCGCCATTTGGTTGTAGAAAGATTGTATAATTGTTGCAGTGTTATAGAGGACGATTAACACTTGATTAGGGAGTAAGGAAATGTCGAATGTAAAGGAAAATTTCTCATTCAAAATTCATAGTGTATGCACTTAGGGTTGACATTCTAAGGATAGAATGTAATAAGTGCATACACTTATTATCTTTTTCTTGAATTTGAATGGAAGCTTCTATTGCATACGGCATTTTCGTACTATGTAATCAATGTTTAATTTTCCTCTTTAACACTACAACAATATTCCGATCTCTTTTTTCAACCAAATGGCGGTGTTAGATGTGACATACCGTGTCCGAGAGCTGATACTCATACACACTTTCTATAAATGATCCCAAATACTTAAGATGAAATTATTTGGCAGACAGAATACAAAAAAAGCAAAAACTGTACACTTATTCAGATAAATATGTATCTATCCATTTAAGCCTTCTCAGTAGCGTTCATACCTTACCCCCTTAGATAATTAAACTATTCCTTGGCCAATTAGGTGCACTCATTTTATTTTGAAGATTTCTCATTGAGTACACTGTATTAATTGATTCGATGAGGTTGTGAAAATTTACATTAATTTATGTGGTTAGCAACAGTGTCTATCGAAATGTATATTTCCAACGTAGGGAAGACAAGAACAATGTAGGGTGAGTACTACTTATCTATAATATATAGAAACAATGACCGAAATGCATTGACAGTAGTACAACATATTTTGTAAAAACCATAATCTACTCTAACTCCTCCTGGAGTCCTTCTAGGGTTTATTACCGGTCCTAAGCCCGGAATAAAAGAGGAGGGTTGGGCATAAAGGTTAGCAACTTCATCCCGTAGAAATTCAAATCGTTAAAAAGACGCGAAGCATAGAAATAATTCTCTGATCAACGGCCTATGCTCCATCAGAGGCAACAGGCAGTAAGTAAGTTATAATCTACTCTACTGAATCAAAATAAAGAAAAAAGAAATAGAACAGCAAAATTAGACTGACTTACCGATCTTTAACTTGTAATAAATAACCAACTAAACAGTATGCTGCACAACTATGCAAAAAATTACGTTGTGCAGTTAAAAATTCCTCAGAATTATCACCACCATGTTCACGATGCATATAATCTAACAATGATAAATGAGCATGTCGTTTAATTTGATGAAATGATACTGTATCAGGTACTGGTTCAATAAATCCACTATCTGATGATATAACAACCACAGTTAATGGACGTAACCATAATGGAACATATTCCATAGACCAAATGTTCTATATGTAAGAAAATAAATAAATAAATTCATTTAATAACATTATTAAATAGAAGTGGATGATTGGATTGACAAGGCTGAAATGTTTAAAACTATAAGAACTATCAGTCATGGAGATAAGAGGGTTGTTTACAGGGATAGGATGGATTAGATTGTGTCTAATTTGGTCTCGTGTGCTCTTACGAGAGTATGAGGGCAGATTTCACTTCCCGGCTGCCCACACTATGAAAGTGTGTTTCTTGAGGAACCTGAGGAAGTTCGATTAGTGATGATGGTCTTTGAGAACTGGCAGCGTGACCGAAGAGCCCGAAGGACAACTGGTTCAGGATGATCACGCATAGGCTTTTGAGGGAAAGTTTTTAATGTGTTAGCTCCATTCTTCAAGTGACCTTATCGTCGAAGACAGAAATCTGCGAGGTTTGGGGGTGTGACGTTTTTAGGATCGAGCCTTTTCTCTAAGCAGCATCGATGCAGATGATGGTTGTTCGAGGGAAGCAACTATTACTGTCATACCTCTCTACAGTCAGCGGTACACTACACAGGGAATCGACTTCAACAATTTCGGTCTATCTATCGTACGAACACTGAACCGTAATCTAATCATGTGCAAGTCTAGTTTCAATCAATCCACGATATTACATTGCAAATCAATGATCTACAGATTAAGTGTTCGTGTGAAATTTTACAACTTTTACGGCATAAATACCCTGAGATTATGTTGTTCGTAAGGTCATTCATTTAATAAAGGTCACAATGATTCAAGAAAAAGGTGTCAAGTTGTAATCAGTATAATAGTACAATAAGTCGTGCAAACTAAGAGATATTTCATTCTGACAATAATATTGTGACTTGAATATGTAAGATATGAGTGGTGTGGTCATTGTCATCATGATCAAAAAAATCGTAAATTTATGTGAACTGGGAAAGACGAATACGTAGAGTAGGAAAGATATAAGCAAAAAGGGAAATAGGAGGCGGTGGGATAAAAGGTTTATAATATCCAGTAGTGATACTGACATGCATCAAGGTTTTCGACTACTAACTAAATAAGAATTCTAGTTTTATTTATTCCGCATTTACTAATACTTCTCTTTGTCTTATTGATTTCTACTCGCGAACTCAATGAGTGCGATGTGACAGCTTTTCATTGTGTAGAATAAAATATTGTCTATTGTGATTATGAATTAATTGTATATCTGGTTTAATGTAATCTAGTCTCTGTGTGTAGTGTGCCGTTTAAGTAACCAATCCAAAAGTATTATAAACTTGGTTACTAGTAATTACTTACAGTAGTATCAGTCAGTCAGTCAGATGCAACGTAGAACTTCGTACGTAAGTACATCAGTTCATGTTGCCATACCACATCAGCACAGAGATGTAATTGTCAATTCAAATCCAATAGTAGAAGAGGTAATAAAGGTATTAGAAGTAATCGGAGAGGTTACGATTAGAAGATATTATTCAAGAAGTATGATTCAGTGAGAAAAGTTTAGAAAGAGAGAGATAGAAGTGTTGAAGAATCCAGAAGATTAGGATTTGAGAGCATACAAAGAATAAACGCACCGGCACCATTGCAAACGGTTTTGAGACATGTCATTCAAGGTCTCTAACCATCGATTATTATCATCTCGCGGACCCCAACCAGGTAGTCGACAATTACCGACTTGGCTAAGTCCACTAGTCAATGACTTCATGGATTTATGCCATGTTTTGGTCTGGCCGCCCCTAACTTTCTTCTAACCTATTCCTACACTACAAAAAAAAGCTCGTCGCGGCAGTCGGTGGTTAGGCATACGCAACACATGTCCCAACCACCGCAACTGATGAAGTGTCACTACTGCGTCTATTGATCTGCCATTCTTACCTAGCACCCGTTTCCTAATAACGGCGTTGCTCACTCGGGTGTCCCAGGATATACGAACAATGCACCGTAGACACCTATGATCGGAAACCAGAAACCTGCGAATACCTTACTGCTGTCACACCCCTCTGCAGTCAGCAGTACGACATCGCCCTCAGACCTGGGGTAGCTTCTTTTAGTCTCATCGTTCCCCAATCGACCAGCCTGGCATGGTAGGACCTGCAGGAACATATGTTCCAGCCAGTATAGCTCGGTTGGGTCATCACGAAAGGCAAGCCCGACCACCACGTCAAGGTAGCAGCTACGGTCGGTAGTATAGTAGTATCTTGTTAAATGACTGCGAAAAAAAGAATAAATTCTTAAATTGCATTGCAGATTTTGTGATCAGGATATGAGTATGGAAGCAGTTGTATTTCTCAGTACGATCATTGACCCGTAGGACCAGTAACCTTCGCTCTATCCCAGAACTAATGTCTCAGTACTAATAAATAATGAGAATTTCAATGCTTGTTTGTCCTCGAGCTCTTCCTAACCGGAAGACGAAGACAGCAAATAGATTTAGTTAATCAGCCAGTTACAACCTGGAACTTCGTACGTACGTTCATCAATTCATGTTGCCATACCACATTGGCACAGAGAGTTGGAACTGTCAATTCAAATCCCAAAGTATTAGAGAGGTAGTAGCAGTGATGAGAAAAATCAAGGTTCAAAGACATGATTTGAGATGCTTAATAAAGTGAGGTAAATTTAAAACGGTCAAGACGAATTTAGAAGATTAGGATTCGTGAGAAGATAAAGAATGGATGTATCTGTGCCATTGTTAACAATTTTGAGCTAATTTATTCAAAGTCTTTAACCATTGGCTTCAAACTGTCTCGCGGGTCTACACCAACTAGCATGAATCAGTGTCAGTTATTAATGACTTTATGGATTTGTGCCATGCTTTAGTTTGGCCACCCCTATCTTTCTCCTTTAGCAAACAGATTAACTCTCTATTGTAATCTATTCGCATTCATGACTTAAAATGTATACAATAATATACACTAAATTTTTGACCAGAAAATATAAGAAGTTACATTATAACTATAATAACTCAGTTATATAAATGATAGAAAAAAGTATAAACATAACGATATTTCATTAATTAATTAGATTGATCAAAATTAAACAATAACACCATTAGATGCTGGCTTAATGGCTCAGAAGTAAGGCGTTCGCGCACAAGACCGAAAGTCCTGGGTTCGATTCCCACGAGCGAAGGTAGTGGATGCGCCTTGAGACCGATGAGTCCCACAGTAGGATGAGACAGCCGTACTGCGCTTCCAGGTTTCTAATGGTCATCTAACAACAATGAATGAATGATTAATTAGGGATTTCAATGTTAAACTCTGAAATAGTTAACTAAAAGCTTGCAAACTAAAAAGTATTTAAAATCTAATAGTAATAATAATAATGACAGACAAAGTTTCCAATCATTACATAATAATAGTGCTGAGAATTCAACTTGTTTTGTTTGTAGCATTTTCAATATTATCATAATATTAGACAAGTTTATGATTCAAAAAAAAAAATCCGTGGTCTCGTGATTTAATTATGTAACAACAGCAAGAAAAAAAGAGTTTAAGGTCATAACGAAAAGAAAAAATTAGATCAACATAGAATTAGCAGTAACAATGTGTTTGTGAATTGATTGATTTCCAATCAAAGAGAAATCTATCAATGAGTAGATTAAAACAAAACTTTGAAGCGCCCTAAAAGTGACGATGCTTGCAGGTTAAAATATGCTATTGATAGATTCGCTTCAGTATTCTCTGGAGACGATGTCAGCCAGTGGGGTTCGGAATTAGACATCTTGTGGTGTGTGTACCGCGTATGTTGAGCCCATTTGGCTTGGCCCAGACTTTGGACAAATTAATTAATCCATTATTCTACCTGAGTTATTATTCACAAATCTTTCGGCATTGTTTATTATTCGCTTATTGTTGGAGACGTTAGATCCCCAGAACTCGCTTGATTAAGGTCCTAATTTTGGGCTTTGTGTTTTAACGCATGGGCTAATCAGTTGACCTTCAGCTCACATTTCCCACTCGGAAAATCATTGTCTATAATTGGTTGATGGATTATTTTAGTACGTTATTTTTGTGGCTCTCTCAAGGACGTTTTTATGCTATATAAATAAACTCAATTTGTGTGCTTGTCAACCTCATATTTTCTGGGTGCTTGTAGAATACACTTTCTACGCCATATCAAGACTTTTTGACATCGTTAGTGGGGTCTTGGGAGGCTCGTATTAGAGTAGCCTGTCGTGTCGACGGATCATCGATCCTAGCTCCTGTTTACCGACTAAGGTGAACTCGTAATAGTTCAAGCATATCAACTGACAAGCATAACACCTATAACCTCGGTTGTTTTCAATTGAGTGCGTATGTGTATTGCTTGTTTCACTGATTACATGTCTGACTTAGTTATGCCCCATTGCATTGAGTTGGCTTATTCTCTTTCTCCACTTCACTTTGCTTTGCTTTTACGGTTTGTACTGTCATCTCTGTTTGTGTGAACAGTTGCTTGAAATAAACTCGTCCAAATGAATCCATATTCAGCTTCTTAATACCGCTATCGTACAACTTACTTACTTACTTACTTACGCCTGTTACCCCCAATGGAGCATAGGCCGCCCACCAGTTTTCTCCAACCAACTCTGTCCTGGGCTTCCCTCTCCAGTTCTGTCCAATGTTTGTTCATTCCACTCATATCTTTCTCTATTTCTCGGCGTAATGTGTGCTATCGTACAAACTGGGTTGAAATTGAAGGGAAGATTTATTTTATAGAGCATACTCATTCGGTCATTCGTCCGAACTGGAGTCAGATCACACGAGTCACTAAACTGATGAGCGCTACTTCAAATTGAACACAGTTACTGAACATCTAAGTGAAAGGTTCAGAAAGTTACTTCCTTAAGATCATTTATTTTATCAGTAGTGGTTCGATATTGTTAATTCTAAATAATCAAAAACAAACTTACTTTTAACACACTCAATAGTTGATAAGCTAATTGTTCTTGTCTTAAATCATCACCAACTTTAACAATTGCACTAGTTAAAATCCATCCTGGTAAACTACCCCATGGTGATGTTGCACGTATACGTTCACATTTCACATGCCATGGTTCTTTTAACACAGCTGCACTTGGATCTTCTGGATCAGACTTGAAGAAGACAAGAAAACAAAAACATGAAAGAAGAAAGTGCTATAAAATCTATTCGAAAAAGAGATTAACTGAATTGTTAACGATTTTCAATGCAGAGAGTATGAAGGAACATGGAAAATGTGATGAGTGCTAGGCTCAGGCCGTCATAATAATATAATCTCAGTCAGTCAGATGTAACGTAGAACTTCGTACGTAAGTACATCAGTTCATGTTGCCATACCACATCAGCACAGAGATATAATTGTCAATTCAAATCCAATAGTACTAGAGGTAGTAAAGGTATTAGAAGTAATCGGAGAGGTTAGGATTAGAAGATATTCAAGAAATATGACTCAGTGAGAAAAGTTTAGAAAGTCAAAACTAGAGTTGTTGAAGAATCCAGAAGATTAGGATTTGAGAGAACACAAAGAATAAATGCACCGGTACCATTGCAAACGGTTTTGAACCATGTCATTCAAGGTCTCTAACCATCGATTATTATCATCTCGCGGACCCCAACCAGGTAGTCGACAATTACCGACATGGCTAAGTCCACTCGTCAATGACTTCATGGATTTCTGCCATGTTTTGGTTTGGCCGCCCCTACCTTTCTTCCAACCTATTCCTACACTACAAAACAAAGCTCGTCGAGGCAGTCGGTGGTTAGGCATACGCAACACATGTCCCAACCACCTCAACTGATGAAGTGTCACTACTGCGTCTATTGATCTGCCATTCCTACCTAGCACCCGATTCCTAATAACAGCGTTGCTCACTCGGGTGTCCCACGATTTACGAGCAATGCTTCGAAGACACCTATGATCGAAAACCAGTAACCGACGAATATCTTCTACTCTTACTGGCTATGTTTCATAGCCATAAAGTAAGACAGAACGAACTACTCTGTAGTAAACTCATCCTTCAGTCAGCAAACGGATATCTCGCCTACGCCATAAGTGACGCAGGTTGGTAAAAGCCAGTCGAGCCTTCTGTATCCGTGCTGAGATCTCAACAAAAGACAAAGAGGAATAGAAAATGAAGTGGATTTTCGCGGATTATATTATTTTCATAGTTGAAATCATGAATTAGAGTAAGTAGTACTAGTGAAAAGCCGTGACAAGTGGAGTTCAGTTCGTGTCAAGTAAGCGACAGTAATCCGGCTTTGGCAATACATGAGCGTTGCACAAAATCATGGATTGATTGAAGTTGGACATGAACATAATTGGACGTCAGCTCAGCGGTCTACAGGTTAAGCGTTCATGTACAAGACAAAAGGTCTTTGGTTCCATTCATGTGTGCAACGATTGTGGATGCACACTGCTGATGAGTCTCATATTAAGACAAAATGGCCATTTAGTGCTTCCAGGTTTCTAATGATGGTCTAAACTAGATCAGTTCGTGATTACAATTATAACAAAAAATGAACCGCGAAAGTGAGATCAACAAAACACTGGAAATTTGACTTAATAATACACATCACAAGAAGCAGCCATACGTAAAGGAACATTGGGATTGATTCTAAATCACAAGTTATTAAACTTTTAAAAATAACTGTTTACAATTACGGCGCCAATTCCAACTATATTGTGATTTACAATCAAGACATATTCAAATGGAAGAAAAAAGTGTAATAAACTCGTTTACATTAATTAGTCTAGTTGGTAGAGCAAAGGGATAATTTCTACAATTGAAGAACATTTGCTACTCAAAACACCTCTCAACCAACACCACAGTCATAATTTCTGATATAAACATGACGTGGGAACTTGGAGAAGTATCAAAACGATCATTCAAAAAATACAATAGTTTATGTAAGATACTCTGCATCCATTAGAGAGATACCATCATTAACAAATTACTATGGTAATGAACAAACCAGACTCCAGATGAGAAAGAAATTAGAAACAAGCGCTGGTGTTTGTTGAGTAGGACACACATTGCAAAAAGCACCAAACTATATATATCATGAGACAAGCCACTACTTGTAATCCACACGAACAAAGGAATTAAAAAAGCAGACCAGAGAACAAACTGCGCTGAGAATCGGAAACAAACATGAAAGGAATGAATAGCAATTGGGTAAGGAACTAGAAAAGAGAGCGTAGGACAGAGTTGGGGTTGGAGAATGATGGTAGACAGTATAAGAATTAAAAAGTGAAATCAATGGGTTGATCATAATCAATAGTTTAAGATGTAGAATGATGATTTAAATGAATTCATGATTCTTTCTATAAACTTATCCTTTCTTTTTCTTCTTCTGAAAGGTAGAGAAGAGACTTTGAATGATATGGCTAAAAAATTGTTTACAATGCCTTAGGTGCTTGTTATCTATCCATTCTTTGTATTCACAAAAATTCTAATCTTTTGAATTCCTCATGAACTTATGTTTCCTATTTTAGTGGATTATACTTCTCAAATCATATTTTCGATCCACGAAATTTTACGCTACGGTTAATACTTTTATAACGATGGGATTTGAATTGAAAATTCCATCTCTGATGTACATACTTACCAAGTTCTATGTTGTAGCTGTCTGATTGACTAGTCAGAATAATTTCAACTCGTTGTGTTGCTATCATCAAGGGACAATGTGAATGAAATCAATTGTTGAAACCATGGTTAGATCATTGTTAGCCCACCATCAACTCGAAAGGAACCTGGAAGCAATGGTTGAGACCCTTTCATCCTAGTGTATGAAACTCATCAACAGTATGCATCCATAAACCCTCACTCAGGGGGAAATTGAATCCAGGTGCTAAATAAATAGTCTAATTCACTTTTATATAAGTCTTATACTTACTCGAAATGATCTATGAGGTTGAAGTTCACATTGTTCTTTAAGTCGATTACGTATTTCACCAGCACTGATATAAATTGGAGATTTTGATTGATTAGTATTGACCAGTGTAATTGAATCAACAACACCTGTGGAAGAATTGTTTTTTGTTAATGATTCCAATTGATTAGGCATAGATTTGGTTGTATGCTCTTCGACTTCGGTTGTTTCATCATCTTTCATTAAACGGTGAGGCTGATGCTGTTGGTGTGTAAATTCTGTAGGACTGATTGTTTCTTCATTTAAAGAAATATTCGAAGAGATGGAAGACGAGCGAAGACTTAATTCATCTGACGTATGTGTATTATTACCATTGACTTCAGCGGAGCAGGAACCACCCTTTGTTTTTTTCAAAGAATAATGTGAAAGAAAATAAGAAATAATAAACATGAATGAATGAATGAATGAATGATAAAAAAAATGATTTATGTAACTTGAAACAATCTCATAAAAACAAACAAGCAAGCAGTGAGTGGATGGATGGGCGTTTCGTCCTAGAGTGTATGCAACAACTATTCATCAGCTGTGCAAAACAACAATCTTCATTACTCTATAATGAAATGTTATTGTCAATAAAAAAAAACGAAGAAATTTTGTAATAAAAAATAAATTCAATCCATATTAGGTAGTAGTAGTGTGGTGTGAGCTACTTATAAGTAGTATATGACGTGAGTGTCAACGTAATGTCTGGCAGCAGAAGATGGGGGAAGATCAAGAAAGGAAGAGTTAGAACACAATGGAATTTGTATGAAACGCATGAATAGTGACAATGGATTGATGTTTTGCAACAGGAACAGTCCAGTTCGATAGGATGGACTGATAATTTGCAAATGAACGATTTACGATATGGTTTTCCAATTTTACTGAGTAACTCTGTAATTTTCGTTAAATACAATCCGGTTGACCCACCCGTGTTCTCATTCACTACAGTAGTAGTAGTCAATGAGAACGTGGATTTCGTATTAGTTAGCACTTTTCAAGTAAGTGGCATACTTGTAATCGTTAAAAGATTTGGTGTTGCACCTATGTGAGATATTCTAACACTTCCCTAGTCTCAAACGTAGTCTATGAAGGCTACTGAAGTCGGGAGATTGACACTCATATAGAACTGAAATATTTATAATCAATTGTTCCGATTTCATAGATAGATATGATGTTGAAAACTTTCTAGCTTTCTTAATAGTTTGTGATTTCACTTAAATCATTCCGTTTAAACATTTTAGTTTCGTGCATGTAAATGCACTAGTACAGTCGAGAGTGAGGGATAGTCTGCTCTCCTTTTCCAAACCCTGTCATATGACCAAGAATATATATATAGGCTACAACCAGGAAAGTCCTATTCACTGTCTTCCGGCATCAAGTGTTGTTTACAAAAGTGAGAGAACAAAAAAAGAGAATGTCCATCGGGGGCTTTAAATCGGGTTGGTGAATATGGAAGATTGATCTAAGAGTAATAGAAAACCTTCATCCCGAACCAATGGCGTACATGAGCGCCAACATCCTGATGGAATAGACGAAGCATTAATCCATTGTTGATAACCGATTGCCATTCGGCTGGACCTCGTCAGGTTGTTCCAATGCCTTGCAGATTAAACTTGTAAATGAAAGGCTGGAGAAGTGACCACCTCCCAAGAAAACCACCTGCTTCGACTGTATTTCAGCGCACTAACAAATCCAATAATTTGTATAGAGCCTATATAGTTAGGTGCCCCATTTGTACCAATGTTTATGTGTTAAAATAAAGTAAATCCTAAGTTTAATACACAAAATATATTTACTTATTTAACAACAAAAATTAAATAAAAAAAAATACTAACTGTATGTGAATTAGAATTCCATGGATAGACAGCCAATAATGAATTAGAACTCGTTGAATTAGCCGTTGTGATTGGCCGACTTGGTAAAGATATAACTGAAGGATCATCACAACATAATATTTCTACATAAATTAAAAACGGTGCCTAGTAGAATAAATAAATAGAAAAGAGAAAGAGAAAAGGTGATAGCAATTAGTAATAATTCACTGTATGGTTGCGGATATTGTTGAGTAACTTTTTGAAATCATGAATCGATTAATGTTTGACTACCATTAGAAACATGGAAACACTACAAAACGGCCATTTCCTCCTGGTATAGGACTAATAATACTCATTAGCAGTGCTCATCCACAATTTCAGCTACTCTCAGGATTCAAACCCAGAACCTTCGGTCTTATGCAAGAACGCTCAACCTCAAGACCATTGGACCGGGATCCAACGGAGTTAGTTGTCTAATTATGATCTACAATCTCCATAACCCTATAATGCAAATTTTCATGTGCTCACTAGTGACTAGCCCCGTGAGGAAGTTTTATCGAGTTCCAGTGAGAAGTCGTGACCGGTGGCGTTCAACCCTGCTTTAATGTGAAGCAGTGCTCACCGAAGTGGATGAGGTTGCGAAAGACCATCAAGCTCAGAGAACGAAAATCCCTCATAATACAAACAAAAGGGCACAAAGCATGAAAAGATTGCTTACTCAAAGGTAAGTCGATGTACAGAAAAATGGGGTTATTTATAGTCACCCATGACGTTGAACTGCTGAAAGCCTCGGAAACCACATTAAATATAGTAGCGGTATGGCTAAATAACCAACCAGAATCGAAGCGAAAGTTCAATTTCATACCGATTAGATGAAATGCTTACTGGCGTTTATGGGGTCCCCAGAGAATTTTCCAAGTAATCTATCGGAACTATCCAACAATAACATAAACAGCAATTAACCATACATTCATGGACATGAAAAAATATTTGACTTACTTTATCTTTAGAGTTTAAACAAACTGCAGCAGTTGGTGGAATACGTAAAACAATATGACCAACTTTATTTACTGGTAACCAAACACGTGCAGGTAAGTGAAGATTTAAATTTGCTAATTCTGCTTGCAAATAAGCCGCTGTAATATTTTTTATACAGAAAAAAAGATAAACAATAGGATTATAAATGCTGTTATTCGAGTAAATTGTATATGAATTAATTAGTTAGTCAGTCAATTGATATTTATTTACGCCTGTTACCCCCCTTCGAGCAGTAGGGGCCTCCAACCAGCATTCTCCAAACAACTCTGTCCTGGAAACTCCTTTTCGGTTTTTCCTATTTGCTATTCATTCCTTGCATGTCTGCTTCCAATGCTTGGCACATTGTGTTCCTATGTCTACCGCTTTCCCTTTAACATTGAGGATTCCAAGTGAGGGATTGCCTCGTGATGTTGTAAGGTGATTTTCGCAATATGTGGCCTAACCACCTCAAGTGTACCAAGGATCCAGCTGAGGGAGTTATAAAATCCTGATTTTAAATGAATGGTTCATATAATCTCCAGGATATGGACATAATAAATGATGTATGAAATTACTGCCTACACCCGACAGGGTTGAACTCCACTGGTCACGTCCTCTCAACTAGAGAATGACATGGCTCAAAATCGTTCGCGATGGCTCCGGTGCATTTATTCTTTGTGTTCTCTCAAATCCTAATTTTCTGGATTCTTCAACACCTCTAGTTTTGACTTTCTAAACTTTTCTCACCGAATCATACTTCTTGAATAATATCTTCTAATCCTAACCTCTCCGATTACTTCTAATACCTTTACTACCTCTTCTACTATTGGATTTGAATTGACAATTACATCTGTGTGCTGATGTGGTATGGCGACATGAACTGATGTACTTACGTACGAAGTTCTACGTTGCAACTGACTGACTGACTGACTGTATGAAATTACTGTTAGTCACTAGTTACCATGGGATTGCATCTCCTTCCTCACGTTGCTTCACTTCCTCCTCATAGCTTAGATCTGTCTTGAAGAGGTAGCATCCATCCGCTTAAGAAAACCACCTATTTCAGTTTGAGCATCTGGGCAATATTTCAGTCCATTCACTACTAATTCAATGATTTATGTGTGGCACAACACATAAATGTTTAGGTGCCCCCCCCCTTTGTACTAACACTTATGTGTTGAAACCAAATAACAATAGAACTATTCAATGTAAAATAAGGTTAATTTAAAATATATATATATATATATATATATGTATATATACTTACTTCTTTGTTCTTTAGGACTAATTGGTACTAATCGACGAGCTATTCTCAATAAACTATCAACAAAATCCCATTCAGGTATTATTCTCGGCACTAGATAATTACGCAGTGTTAATGTTCGATTTAGAACTGATGAAGTTTGATGATAATGTGGACAATGCGGTAAATGAAATGAACTCTCTGGCGACTTTAATTTAACACGATCAACATCATCATTGACAACTGCATCATGGTCAACAATACCAACGCAATCATCACTATCGTGTTGTATAATACAATGACTGGGAGTGGTCATCATATACAAACCACTATCAAGTGGACTGGATGATTGTGATATGGAATGGCAGGATTTTGTTTCTGTGATTGTTGTTGCTGTTGTTGTTGTAAGCATTGAATTGGAAGTTGTGTTATGCGTTGAATATACCGATGTATTTGGATCATTAGGAATAGCAGCAGTTTGATTTAAAGATGATGTTGATGATTTGATTTGTACATAGTTATTATTGTTATTATTATTAATATTATCAGTTGTAGTACATAATTGTTGTAAATTAATTGATGACTGAGAATATTTTGAAAGACTCGATTGTGGTAGAATTTCTTTTGTTATAATCTATAGAAATTGGAATGAATTAGATTTAGAGTGTGTGGAAATAGAATTCATTTGTAAAGTTTATGAAGAAGAATTTGAATATATACACGAATGCTCAACCAGCCCGACTGTCCCGTGAAACAATGTTTTGTGATGTAAGAGGGTAGGCTGGAAGAATGCGAAGGCAGGCTAAGCAAAGAAAGACATAGTCACTGAAGAGTGGACTAAGCCATGTTAAGTGTAGACTATCTTGGTTGGGGTCCACGAGATATTAGTTTCCGGTGGTTAGAGACTTTGAATGACATAACTTAAAAACATTTACAATGGCGCAGATGCATTCGTTCTTTGTCTTCTCTCAAATCCTATTCTTCTGGATTCCGCACCACCTTTATTATACTTCTCGAATCATATCTTCGGACCCTAATCTTCTTCATTACCGCTGATACTTCTACTAAACCTAACATTATGGGATTTGAAGTGACAATTGCATCTCTGTGCCAATGTGGTATTGTAGTGAATGAGAACACAGGTGGGGGCAACCGAATTGTATTTAACGAAAATTACAGAGTTACTCAGTAAAATCGGAAAACCATATCGTAAATCGTTCATTTGCAAAAGATCAGTTCATCCTATGGAACTGGACTGTTCCTGTTGCCAAACATCAATCCATTGTCACTCTTCATGCGTTTCATACAAATTCCATTGTTTTCTGACTCTTCCTTTCTTGATCTTCCCCCCATATTATGCTACCAGACTTTACGTTGACACTCACGCTATATACTACTTATAAGTAGTTCGCAACACAGCACCACACTCGTCCCCCCTTTTAATAAGCTGTCGTCGTGGTCCTTCAAAACAGAGCTCCTGGTCAGTTAATATCACCTTCCGTATTCCGTGACACGCTACAGTATGATAACTTGAACTGATTTATGTACGCACGAAGTTCTACGGTGGAACTGACTAACTGACTGACTGAATATACACACACAGATACGTATGGGCACGGTAATAAAATGTTTAGTGATGTGAAATCTGTATGATTCATTTATTCTAAACATGATCCCCAATATATCTATTATCTTTCCCCTTTAACGGTCAAATTTTTCTATTTAGCCATAAAAAATTGGTACAAAGGGTCAGAAATGATTTATGCACCATACAAATCACTGAATTAGTAAATCGGCTGACATACTACCCGGATGCCCTAACCGAAGCAAATGGTTTCCTGAGGATGCCACACCCCAAGCATTAAACCTATAGGTCTAATCTATGAGACGATGGAGCAATGTTAAGAGATCCAGTCTCATGGTAGCCGGTGACTAACATTCGGTTGATACACCGTTCATTCCATCAGAATATTGGAACCTATGTGTACCGTTGGATTGGAATTAGGGGTTTGCAACTCCCCTAAGTGGATGCGTCGTATCTAACAGCCTTGATTAAGCCCCAGTCAGAAATGTACTTTTTTCCAACCAAACTTGTAAACGAAACCGCCACGAGAAGAAAGTGACTAAATACATGTGTCCATAAGAGAGAATCCCAAGAGGGAAATTGGACTCACCTCCACTCTCAGTCGTATCATGACATTTGAGGGTTCTCTTAAATGGAGAACCTACTTTCAGCTTAGTTAAAAAAAAAGACATTTCAATTTGATTACTAATTTGTAACTCTCATTATCACAGTTATATGATATCACATCTCTGCTTTAAAGAAAGAGGTTGATAAATAGAAGAAAAGGGCTTTAATGAAATGGAAAAGTTTCAAATTTAGACCCATGCCATTTACTGTTGATAAATCATCGGACCACAGACATGCACACACACACATATACAAAGATTAGCTTCAATCATACAGCTCTACTGACTACATTATTAAAACAACCTAGTAAGGTATGTAAATGGTGATTTTATTTTATGTAGCACAGATAATAGACATAGTTAATATGCATGTATTGATCTTTATAAAATGTATTGTGCAGATCATCATCATTATCACATGAGATAACATATCAAATTGCAATTCCTTTTTTGTGTTAAATAGAAGATTTTTCTGTTTGTCTAAGAGATAAAAGTTAAGTAAAAACAGCATAAAATGAACAAAAAGGTATGTAACATGTACGTTGTGAGCTAGCTAATCAGAAACTACGAGATGAGACGAGTAACTTGATACATTGTACAAATGACAGTCAGTCAGTCAGTAAGCTACAACGTAAAACGTGGGACGTATGTACATGAGTTACAGTTACCATACCACATTAGAATAGAAGTGCAATTGTCACTTCAAATCCCATAGTATTAAAGGTAGTAGAAATATTAGTGGTAATTGAGAAGATTAGGATTTGAAGATGTTATTCAAGAAGTATAATTCAGTGAAATAAATAGGTCGAGAGAAAGATAGAGGTGATGAGGAATTCAAAAGATTAGAATTGGAACGGAGACAAAAAATGGATGCACCTGCGCCATCGCAAATGATTTTGAGCCATATTATTCAAAGTCTCTAACCATCGGCTACTATTGTCTCGAGGACCCCAATCAGGTAGTTTACGTCAAATGACAAGTGTAAGAATAAGATATAAACTATTGTCACTTAGTATGCTAGAGGCTATTACGAGTTTACCTTAGTCGATAAACGCAAACGAGGCTTTTACCAGAGTCCAGGTAGGCTACCTTGAATCCAACGGTAAAACATAAGTCGTGGTAAGCGTAGAAAGTATATTCTACAAACACCCAGAGATCACAGTACAATCAAGCATACAACTCTCGTTTATTTATATTACATAGAAACGTCCTTGAGACAGTTAAGAAAATAGCACACTAAAATACACAGCAGCCAATCACAGCCAAGGATTTTCGTGGTGGGAATTGTTATCTCAAGGTCAACTGATCAGCCCATTCTCGCAAACGTAGAAACCAAAATAAGGCATTTATCAAGCGAATTTCGGGGATCTAACATCCGCAACACTTAATATTTCTAACGGAAGTATATAAATAAACAAATGGACAGCTAGTTTTTAATTCAGATAGTCAGTAAACTTTCTCCTCGTTCTGTCTTTTATCTTAAGTCGCATATTGGGATTATGAATAAGAGGTTGGTTTGATGGTGAGATCATGGTTTTACAAACTTTAAAATATAGCGCAGGAGGTAAGTGCAGTTCTCTATTCAAAGCTTAGAAATAGTTTGGGTAAACAGTAATTGGGGATCGGCGTAGTGACAACCTACTCTAACGGAGAATAAACTAGTTTCTAACTGAGGAATAAATTACAAAAACATGATAGAGGTGGATAAGGGATATATTGAGGAAACCGTCAAACTGAATCACGAAGCAGGCTCGGAGATCAGAAGCAGACATCAAAAAGCATGAGCTGTATCGAAAGGAGCAAACTAATCCATTAAACTAAACCAGAGACATATCATTTCTACTTACCTCAAATACTAATCTTCCGAATACCTCATCATCTATCTTTTTCTCTTTATACATTTATTTCACTCCTTGAATGATATCTTCGAACTCTAATCTTCTGCGTTCTCGCTCACACGGTATGGCGACTTAAACAGATATACGTACGTACTAAGTTTTACGTTGTAGCTGACTGACTGACTGACTTTTCCGTACCCTATAATCAGTGTTTAATCTTTCTCATTTCTGCTAAAATCTTTTTCAACTGTACGGTTATTCTTGCTGTGATGCACCGTGTCCTAGAGCTGACATTCATACACAATTTCTATGAATGAGCCCAACTACTCAGGTAAAAATGAAGTTATTTTGGTTAACCGACTACTGTGAGGTTCAGAGGTCTTATACGGTTGTTATACAGTACCATTTTGCCTTTCAATGGTTGTTCAACTAAGATCCATTCGTGGAATGCAAACATTTCTAAAAAAATCTCTTCACCAACCCCCTTTTTTAAGATTAACTATATTATATTTGGACCAATAAAACATTCGTTTTGTCCAGTACTCTAGCGTTGCGGTTCACATTCGAATCGTATACAATAGACACTAACTTGGTGAGAATTGAATGATACTTTTTTTTCTAAATTACTGGTATTACATTCTTGTGAATATGATTACGTCTTTATGCATACTCTACATATTGATCTGTAGTGGATGTAATTAGTGTATGAATGAAGTGTGCTAATTTCATTATGATTTTAAGTGTGCCAAACTATAAATTGTTTTTTATAAATTGTCTACTGAACTTATAACATTCACTATTTACTTGTCTATGTGTGTACTTACTTGATGAAGCGGTTGACCAACACACATTTTTTTTATTAAAAAAAACGAACAAAACTGCTTTTGACAAAACAAATAAAGAATGTCGATGAATAAACACAAATAGAGTGAGTGAATTAACGTTAGGATAGTCGCTTGTGTTTCATACTACTTCAGACAAGTGGACTGAGTCATGTTGGTAGATTTAAGCTACCTGGTTGGGATCCGCGAGACGTAAGTCAACAGTCAGTTACAACGTAGAACTTCGTACGTAAGTACATCAGTTAAAGTTGCCATACCATATTAGCACAGAGATGTAATTGTCATTTCAAATCCAATAGTAGTGGAGGTAGTAAAGGTATCAGCAGTAATCGGAGAGATTAGGGTCCGAAGATGTTATTCAAGAAGTATATTTCAGTGAGGTAAGTTTAGAAAGAGAAAGATAGAGGTGATGAGGAATTCATAAGGTTAGAATTTTATAGAACACAAAGAATGAATGCACCTGCGCCATTGAAAACGATTTTGAGCCATGTCGTTCGGGGTCTCTAAACATCGATTACTATCATCTCGCAGGCCCCAACCAGGTATTCGACACCTACTAACATGACTCAGTTCACTTGTCAGTGACTTCATGAATTTCTGAGATGTTTCGGTCTGGCAGCCCCTAGCTTTCTCCCAACCTATTCCTACACCACAAAACATAGCTCGACGAGGTAATTAATCGGTGGTAAGCATACATAACAAATGTCCCAACCACCTCAACTGATGAAGTTTCATTACTTCATCTATTGACCTGCTGTCCCTACCTAGTACTCGTTTCCTAATAACAGCATTGCTTACTCGGTTGTCCCACGATACTCGAGCAACGCTTCAGAGACACCTATGATCGAAAACCAGAAACCTACGAATATCTTCTACTCTCACTGGCCATGTTTCACAACCACAGAGTGGGACGGAGCGAACTACTGCGCAGTACACTCGTGCTTTAGTCAGCAAACGGATATCTCGCCTTCGCCATAAGTGACGCAAGTTGGTAAAAGCCAATCGAGATTTCTGTATCCGTGCTGAGATTTCGTCAGTCACCAGGCCATCGGCACCAATGGTTAGAGGCCTTGAACAACATGGCTCAAAATCAGTTGCAATGGCGCAAGTGCACTCTTGGTGTTCTCTCAGATTCTAACCTTCTAAATTCTTCATCATCTCTATTTTCATCTTTCTAACTTTATGTCACTGAATTATACTTTTGGAATCATATCTTCGCTACCTAATCTTCCTCATTACTGCTAACACTTCTACTATCGCTATCACTCTTGGATTTGAACTAATAACTGCGTCTCTGTGCTAATGTGGTATGGCAACCTGAACTGATGTACGTCAGTACGTACGAAGTTCTGTGTTCTACTTGTTTGTTTGTCCTAGTTCAGATCCGTCAGTTGGATTAACCTACATTTCAGAGTTAATGTTTGACACATAGAGAAACATAAGCCTAGCATTCATTTGTTACAAATCATCAACGTGTTATCGATTGAACCACTGAATGGTTTTACAATTTTATTTCAAACTAGTCAATCAGACAGACAGATACATACATAGAATATTATAAATATTGTAACACACTCGATGAGCACTGTAGCCTATAAACATAAACCTTATTTGCTCAAATTATAAGAAATTTTAATTCTCAAATAAACTAGATTTTACATGAACTAGATAAATAAAATTTTAAATTAAAATTGATTACTAAACTGATATATATATATATATATATATATATATATATATATATATATATATAATGACAAAACAATTATTCTAATTTCTTATTGTCATTCAACTAATGACAAATGACATTAGGAAAAATAACTTTTACAATTTTGTTGTCTTGTTTAATTGTCAATAACTAACTCCCTTTTATTTGAATGTTTTATTGGCAGAAAGTGTATGTATGAATCAAAATGGTGGGGGGGGGGCGGTGTTTTCGTCAAGATATCAAGATTATAAATTTATACTGATAATAAATGGCATATTGGATTAGAATTGAGTTGGTCAGTCAGTCAGTCAGTCAGTCAGCTACAACGTAGCACTTTGTACGTACGTCGCCATACCACATTTGCACAGAGATACTGAACTGTCAATTTAAATCCCATAGTGTGAGAGATACAATGGAAGTATTTGCGGTAATGGAAAAGATTACAGTTTGAGGATAAGATTCAAGAAGTATATACAAGTTAAATAAACTTAAGAAGAGAAAGACAAAAGGTGATGAGGAATTCAGAAGATTAGATAAAATATGAGGGAAGACAAAGAACGGATGCATTAGCTCCATTGCAAACGATTTTGAGCTATGTCATTCAATGTGATGATTGTGAACACCACTTGATATTTTGTGTTTGTATTCTTTATATGGAAATTCACTCATATATACTTTACTATGAATACTCACTCATAAGTCCTTTCACCGCATATCTACAGCCAATATAAACACTTAGGTTATATTACTACAGAAGATTATGGAGAGTTTAACCTCTTGTACAGTTATAGATGTGCACTATAGTAGCTTTTATTCTTTATTTAAACACAACTATTGGCACAAAAAGGCGCTCATATATTTACGCGCCTAGGTTGATGTTGTAACACTCACTTGATAATTCCCAGCTAAAGTAGCGTATTTTCCTAGGGAGCCCCACACCCACAGTCTTTGACCTACAAGTCTAATCCACAAGGCAGTATAGATCAGGTGCAGTCCCGTAGGGACCAGCGGCCAACAATGAGTCCATATCTCAGATATTGGAGAACATATGTACCATGGGTTCGGAATCTGGTTTTTTTACTTCTCTAAGTGAACCCTCCGTTCTCGCCAATGTGGTTTAAGCCGTGACCAGACATTCGTTTTCCATCCTCCCAGCACCTCCACGAGGTAACAGTGGCTATATACACGTGGCCACTTAAGAGTATTTCCAGAGTAGAAAGAGAAGACTCTCCCCACTGTTGACTGTGCCAGAGCATTCAGAAGACACAGTGAAGTCTCATATGAAGGTGAAATAACTGTTCGGTACTGCCTGGTCTTCAACTGATGTCTAAATAAGATTAATCTATGGTGTAAAACATGAAAAACTTAATACCATTGGGTAGTCAGTTTTTTGTAGTGATAGTTTCATTATTTACCAGAATTATATATACATCGAGTAAAACAGTACAGAAAAGTTAAAAAAACATAAAACAAAATCTTCCAGGTTTCCAATGGTGGTTGAGTGTTGATCGATTCATGATTTCAAAAAGTAACCCTATTGTTATAGATCTCTTAATAAAACCCAGTTATTCCTATTGCTTAGTACTCTCTGATAGCAATACACTTGACAAGTCCCCAAACCAGAACACAGTAGAACAGGAAAGAGATTATATTCCAAATAGCGAGGTTAAATGGAAGTAAGAAGCCAAAGAAAGGCGAAGGCAAAATAGAAACAACGTTAGTATCTCCATAGTTGTCTACATGAGAAGCTTCTGGAATCTAATCCACGTGATTGACTAGCGCTGACCGGATTAGATTTAGCCAATCAGCGTGCAGCTAACAACACGAGAATTTTCTAGACTGCTCTCCAAGTCTCGACCAGGCGCTGATTGGACAGGGAATCGGCCAATCAGCGCGCAGCTAACGCAGTCATGCTCTAATCCATATATGTTCCACTGATACCTACAGTACAATTGATCTAGTCCCCGTTAGTGAATAGCTTTGTGAGGAATTTTCTCCGAGTTCTAGTGAAAAGTCGTAACCAGTGTAGTTCAACCCTGTTCGAATGTGAAGCAGTGCTCATCGAAGAAAGTGGATGAGGCTACGCAAGACCGTGAATTGATCCAAGTCATACATTGATACCGTTAAATGCCAACTCGGTGGTTCAGAGGTTAAGAGTTCACCAGTAGCAGGAGTCGTGGATGCGCACCGCTGATCAGTCGTTCTACACCAGATGAAAGGGCTATTCACTGCTGCAGAATTTCTAATAAGGATCTAACATTGATCGATTCATTATTTCGAGAAAATCTTAGTTTTTAAAAATAACGTAACACAGAATTTTAAAAAAATACCTTCACTTACCTTATTCATACTCATACTGGATTTTAATGAATTTCCATCAAAGTGTAACTCGTTTAGAGAATGTTGATTTTTTTTGACGACTACATCCATATTTGATAAACAAACAGCTGAATCTTGTGATGATGATGACCAACGATTTTGATTAGAAGTTGTTGTTGTTGTTGCTGCTGTTACTGTTGTCGTGGTGGTGATGGGCGTTGTTACTCTTATCGATTGATTATTTTCAACATTATTGATTAAGTTTAATTGATCCATCGCAAGAGAATGTTTAGATTGATTAGTAGAATAATGATAATTTCGTAAACCTAAATTGATAAAAAGTATGGAAAGAAGAGCAAGAGATTGAATAAAAGCTAATAAAAATTACATAGAGTAAACCATATATGGATTAGACTATATGGGTGTAAAACATGGCCGGTGAGAGTAGAGGATGTTTGTAGGCTATTAGTATTCGATCAGAGATGTCTTCGAAGCATCGCTCGTATATCCTGGGACCACAGAGTAAGCAATGCTGTTGTTAGGAAAAGGGTGTGAGATAGGAATGGAAAACCAGTAGATCAAGCAGTGATACTTCATCAGTCGAGGAGGTCGGGACATATGTTACGTATGCCCAACCAACGATTACCTCGACGAGAGATGGTTTGTGATGTAGGAATAGGCTGGAAGAAAGCTATAAGCGGTCAAACCAAAACATGGCACAAATCCATGAAGTTAGTGACAACTGCACTGAGCCATGTTAGTAGGTGTATACTACCCGGTTGGGGTCTGCGAGATGTAGTAATCAATGGTTAGAGACCTTGAATGCACGTACGTACGAAGTTCCACGTTGTAGCTGACTGACTGACATTTGACGGGTTCGGCTTCCAGCCATTAAATCTCAGGTCCGAATCCCACTTCAGCAAACACGGACTTGGGTAACTGGGCAGTATCATTATCTGTTATACTTGGATGCAGGTTTATACCCAATGAATCGGTGAACAGGTAGGTTTAATTTTGTACCAGCTTCCATGTTGCGTTCAGCTGAATACTGGGACGACAAGGATGCTTCAACGTTCAAACACTAAACATGTACATTTGTGCATGATTATTTCAAATTACCACTTATTTATCACGTGACTACTGTCTGATGCCAACAATGACACATAGGCTTTTCGATGCAGCACTTGCGAATCATCAGAAATACATACACATATATATATATACATATGCGAATTTCATAAATATACAGTAAAAAAAAACAACCATGTTTACTGCTTTCAACAAAATCGATTCCTCAGTTTGTTAGCAAACAAGGACACACACACACGCACGAATAAAAAAGTAATAATAATGAAACCAATTAGAAGGTTGGAAGGAATATGATCAATAATAGTTGGTGGTAATTAATTAATGTACACATGTTGGTTGATTTTTATAAAAAATCAATTTGAATATTTCTCTAGCACTCTCTCATGTTTACAGTATACCATGGAGGGTCCTATACACCGCCTTTCCTTGGAATGGGCATTTTTTTTGGAAAGTGAGCGAGAGAACAGTGAACAACTGGAGCTTAAAATAGGTTAATTGATTCAAAGGGATTTATGAGGGCGAAGTTGTGGTTTCAAGCCAATGTTGGAAATGGGTTCCAGGATACTGAAGGAATAAATGACGACGTACGAGCTTATTTCGGCTACACATTACCATAGGAATGCATTTCCACAGATGTTTCTCCAATGCTTTGTGGATTAGACCAAAGAACGCCGAGAATCGGAGGCAGACATCGAAAGAACGAACAACTGCTACTGGATAGAACTGGAAAGGAAAGTCCGGGACAGAGTAGGTTGGAGAATGTCGGTCGGTGGCCTACGCGCCACTTGCACTGATTTAAAAATAAAATCAACAATACACGCATACACACAACAAGAATCACTCTTACAGTTTAAATGTTAACAAAAAGGCCTGTATTTGATCCCTAGAAAGAAAATATGGATGCAAATTGCTGAGAAGAATTTAATTTTTTAGAAGAAACGTGATAATTTTCGATGGTTATTTATGATGAGTTCATGGTGTAAATTACAGATTGTAACAACTCATTTAAGCACTAACTTATAAGAATAATTTATCAATGGAATATAGAAAAAGTGAAATAATGTATAAATTCACCTGGAGCCTTTCTGGGTTACTGTCGGTCTCAGCAACGGAAAAAGGAGGGTTGGTCGTAGGGGGTTAGCGACTCTATCCCGCATAAAACCGACTCACTAAAAAAAGCGCTAACCAGAACAAATACTTCAAACTATTTAAACTCTGCTCTGAGAGTTGGGAGGTCTTCAATTTAGAAGATCAGTGATGCCTCGTGATGAAAGCCCAGTATTTTCGGAAGTCACGAGAAAGATGCCCCTTCTGACAACCAAAGCAACAATTAATATAGGTTCATATTCAGGACAGATTAGGTTGGAGAATATTGGTTGGCGGCCTATGATCCATTAGGGGCGACAGGTGGGAGTAAAATAAGCACGAAATAATACGTAATATCTTTTACTTACTTGTTACATCAGATGTACTTCGTTTATGTCTCATCTTATAATTATTGATATTTGGAGATGATTTATAGTTTGATGATGGAGAAGAAATATTACCATTATTATATGATCCTATATTGTAGCTAAAATAAATACACAAAGCATTGATATGATAAATGCATCTGTATTATTTGAACTAATTAGTTTTGATTGGTTTGATTTCATAATGATTAGTTATATAACATTGGGATTAATCTGGTACTATCAAAACAGGAGAGAGAGAGAGAGAGAGTCTGCTCTCCCTTCCCAAATGTTTTCATGTGGTCACGAGGATACAACCACTGCCCACGAAGTCATACTCACTTACTACTTATGGTAAGTGTTGTTTATGGAATTAAGAGGACGTAAAGTGAATGCATGGACAGGGTTTACACAAGGTTAGTGGGTATGGAGGATCGATCTAGGGGAGTTGAAAAACCCCTATTTTGAACTAATAGCGGCGCACACAGGCTCCAGGAAACAAATAGCGTATAAACTTATTTTCATCCACCGAGTACCATGGGACTGCATCTTATGACGTCGCTCCAATTCCTTCAGGATTAGACCTGTAGGTCAAGAGATCAGCGAGTGGCTTCTTCCTAAGAAAACCACCTGTCCCAGTTTGAGCAGCCGTACAGTATATCCTAGTCCACACACAATTTCATTGATTTGTTTGACGCATAAATATTTAAGTGCTCCTTTGTACTAACACCAGTGTTTAAATAAGAATCAGTAACAGTGTACGCCAGCGTAAGTCAGTCAGTTATATATAACGAAGAACTTGGCCCATATATGTATCTGTTAAAGTTGTCACAACACAACGAGTAGGAATCGTCGAAACGAATACCACAAATTCTGAATCATGTCATTGCATGGCATATACTACCAAGGCCCAGTCCAACAGTGAGTGACTTCATAGACGGTCGGAAAGCTTGGTTTGGTCACCACCCCTAGGCAATTCAAACTTGTTAGACCTGAGAACATTTTTAGTGACCCACGATCTGACCCCAGTTTGGACGATTGATTGAATATGCTATGAACTAAATCTTCCCTTCGATTTCCACATATTACTCTTAGGCGAAGCCCGTTTGTAAGATGATGATAGTAGGAAGCTATGTACGGATTCAGTTGGATGAGCTTATTTCAAACAATCATTGACGCAGAGATGAGAATACAATGCATGAAACCAGAGCAAAGCAAAGTGGAGAAGGGGAGTGGGCCGACTCCATGTAACGAGGCATGCTTAACTATTTATAGTAAGACAAAATTAGGCCAGGCATGTGATAAACGAAGTAAGCGGTGGACACACTCAAATAAAAACAACCAAGGTTATGAGCGAAAGGTATGTGAATAAATAATTCGAGGAGAACAGATTGACTAAATTGTCAAAAGGCTGGGACAAGCCCTGTGGGTTCAACACATGTGTACACACACTACACACTGCATTTCGAGGTTCGCGATGGTTGGACTAACCAAATAAATGCTTTAATCATCTCAGCTGATGAAGATTCACTGCACCATCGTTTGAGTTGCTCGCTTAGTAGTCCGAGCATATTCTTTACTTTTCGAAAGTATGTCTTACAATAGTAAACTGTTATGCATCATGATTCTGTCTCCATTTAACAAATTGCTCTGTTCAATACAAGAAACACACCAACATGGAGAGAAGTTAATCAGTAACACAGAAAAAAAAAGGTATCACTTGATATCGACACACATACCTGTCATTTTTAATCGATTGAGAAATAAAATTACCCCATGTAGTCTCATCAGTAGGCAATAATAAATCTCGTAATGTTTGTGCAGTATACACATATCGATGATTATCATTATTGGTCAATTCAGTTGAATTCATGGTGATTTCTGTAGTAGTAGTAGTAGTAGTAGTAGTAGTAGTAGTAGGGGGAGTGACAGTCACAATTGTACTGTGATGATTATTGTTACGATTATCACCATCATCATCATCATCTAGCTCTTGTAATGATGCAACAGCGGAGGCAGTCGATTTTAATTTTATTGATTTACTGTGATTGATTGATTGAAAATTATCATTGGGATTCATTAAATATAATTGATTCGATACATACGAAAATGTTGGCACTGATGATGGACGATTAAGCAGAATTGATGGGACATGATGTTTTAACGGACTGAATGAATGTGAACTGAATGCATCCAGTAACCAAACAAGATTAATTGCAAACGAAATAGACTTTGTACATCTAAATAAGTAATATATTTAGAGAATAGAAAAGAAGAGAGAGGATATATGCACATATAAACATGAAATGAATATATAATAGATAAATAGATAGCCAGTCAGTCAGCTACAACGTAGAACTTCGTACTTATGTACGTACACCAGGTATTCTACACCTACTAACATGTCTCAGTCCAGTGGTCAATGATTTCATGGATTTGTGCCATGTTTTAGGTTGGTCGCCTCTAGATTTCTTCCAACCTACTTCTACATCACAAAAAATAAATAGATAGACATTCCATAAATATAACTTGATCGAGAGAATTCGTGATTACAGGAGTTCAACCCAGAGAACATTAAGGATGATGGTTGCATCATGATGCCAATTGAATGATATTATAGACAAGCATACGGATGAATGGCGACCTAACAATCTAAAGCTCACGAGACTGATGGTTATGGTTTCGATATTCTTTGTGATCGTGGATATCCAAGGCTAACGAGTCTTATATTAGGACGAGAGAGCTGAACATTGCTTATAAGTTTTTAATGGATATTTAACTTAGGACGGTTCATGATATCAATTCCGCTATATTGATCGATAGAATTCGACCAAGACTAAAGAGCTAGACAAGTATTAAATTAGTCAATATCTAGACAATATCTTGAAATATCTAAGCAACATCGTTAAGTATCTTTCATTGAAATGACCAACCGATCGCTGTTAGACCACCATTAAAAAGAAAGCAAGAAGCATTGGAAGGCCGTTTTGTAATAGTATGGAACTCATCAGCAGAGAGCACCTACGAACCCCGCTCACAGGAATCGGACCAAGGACATTCGACCTCTCGCGCTACCGCTTAACCTCTACACCAACTTCGAGATCAGCAGGTTGGATTCCCTAAGGACTGATCGTGTAGCGACCTAACAGCAACACAACGAATCATCCTGGAACAATCAATTGAATTGAAATTCGTCAGTGTACTGACTGCGAAAAAACACTCAACAGCGTGGACAGGATAACACTATGGAGGCGTCTTCAGCACTACGGTGTGCCTGAGAAGATAGTCAACATTATACGGAATTCGTATGATGGATTAAACTGAAAAATTGTGCATGGAGGATAGCTCACAGACTCGTTCAAAATGAAGAACGGTGTCACACAAGGTTGCTAACTCTCACCCTATCACTTTCTCCTGGTGATCGACTAGATTATGAAGATGTCAACATGTCACGGAAGTATGTAATACAGTGGACAACTCGGATGCGGCTGGACAATCTGGACCTCGCAGATGATCTAGCTCTTCTGCCCTCGACGCAGCAACAAATACAGAAGACAATCAGTATAGCATCAGCAGTAGCCCTCAACTTACACAAGGGAAAAAGTAAGAGCATTCGATACAATACAACATTCATCAACCAAATCACAACTGACAGAGAGGCTTTGGACGATGTACAAGACCTTCACCTGGTAGGGCAGCATCACTGATTTGCAAGGTGGATCTGATGCAGGTATGAAGGCGCGGTTCAGTAAAGCAAGGGCAGAAGTTCTAAAGTTGGTTTTTCAATACAAATGTCAGGACACTTGCACTGTATGGGGCGGAAACTTGGAGAACTACAAAAGCCATCACCCGGAAGATATAAGTGTTTATTAACAGTTATCTATGCAAAATACTTTGAGTCCGTTGGTCAGACACCATCAGCAACAACAAACCAACTTTTAGCTAAGGGAGAAATCAGGAAGAAGCGCTGGAAATGAATAGGACACATTGAAGAAAGCACCCAAATGAGTCACATGACGAGCTCCCACTTGGAGTCCTGAAGACCAAATAACACATAATGCCGAGAATCGGAGGCAGACACCAAAAGAACGAATAGCAATTGCAGGAAGGCGCAGGACAGAGTAAGTTAGAGGATGCTGGTCGATGGTCTATGCTCCACGAAAGGTAACAGGTGTAAGTAACGTTTTTAACGTAGGTTTATGAATTTGAAAAATGAATTAAAACATTTTCATTTTAATAATCCATCTGAGCTTATTTCAGTTATTATACACTTACAAATATAGGGATAACAATTAAATGACAAGACACCTTATTTCTTATACTGGCTCATGCAAAAGTTAATTTTCATTGGAGTATATGCAAACAATGGATTGCGAAAACGAATTTTTAGAAGCCATGCAGTCAAATCAATCTACAATTAATAAACATTCGGATCGATAGATCCAGGTTATAACAATGAAGGTCAACCAACGGTGTAACCAGAGGTTAATCGGAATATTTTTTTAAGGACAACTAAACAAAGTCACTAAAATGAATTGGCTTGACATTGAACGATGAATAAACAGACTGAATAACCTCCATTTTTCAATATGGTTAACACTTGACAATGGGAACTCGACAAAACACTATTCAACTCAGAAAATAATAATATTGACAGAAAATTACTCCTCTTGAATGTCCGCATATTATGAATTTTTATTTACATATTTATAAAACATGTTAAGTAATCATATGTAAATTACTTACCGATATAGGAAATAATTAGTTAAGTGTTCAGCTAATGAAGTTGATTTTTCATAAAGTGAAACAAGTTGTAATAAATAAAAGTCTACATCGGATTCTGGAAAACCGAATAATCGATCAGCTGTGTTTAGATGGAATGGAGAAGAATAAAAAAAAAAGACACATCGAGAAAATGCATATAAGGGCCTGTTAACAGCCAGAACATTTAATGAATATATATATATATATATATATATATATATATATAGACTTGTGTTTCGGCACCTGGAAAGCAAATATTCTAGATTTAGATGAAGAGGATCAACGATTTATTGTACATTTTCATTTTTTTGCATCTTATGTTCATGAAAAACTCAAGTTTATGTCTAATACTATAAACCCAGTTGAGATATTGTGATGGTGATCATGAAGAATAGATAGACTTGTAAAACTAATGAATATTTCTTATCAAGTTACTTGTTTATGCACTACACTCTGAATAAGATGCCTGGTTGTTCAAATTGAAACGGACTCGAATCTGAGGTCTCGTAATTGAAAACCAAGTGCTTTAACCATTCAAGCAACAATTTTGAGACAATTAGAATTAGCGAAAAACATTCGAAATGTAAAATAGTAACTGGACAGTTAATAACAATACTAGAGGTGAATAGATTTTTATAACTGATTCGTTTAATAGGATGATGAACCGATATAAGTTAGACATTGATTGTAGACCTGTAAACACTGGACAGCTTTTTTGAGTATTAGTGGTTTATTGGTTAGGGAGGCTTGGTTTTCGGTAGCCGAACTACACCCCACCAACTTTGATTATGACAACCGCCTAGTATCAGTAGCCACTACACATATAATGCAGTTTATATCAGTATCTAGTGAGTAGTATTTTTAGCATGAGACTCCTTGACAACGTATGCACGACCCTATCGCTGGCAATCGAGATCAAGGCCTTTAGTCCACCGCATCAAAACGTCTAACCTCTGGATCACTGAACCAGAATACAAAGGTGTACATGTATAACTTTAATTGATTCGTGAAAGTGTGCAACCATTTCCCACTGTCAGCAATATCTACTTTACTTAGACCCGATATGGATGAACTACATCTACCAAATTCTCACTAGAACTCCGGAAATCTCTTCCCCAGTTTGAGCATGATAATTATTAGTAGGAGGGTCGTGGAGATCGTTGAATGCTATTGAGGTTATGAGTTGATTGAATTTAGACATATACATTATTGGTTTTCGGGTTTGATAGTCTATGGTTTAAGCATTCGCAAGACAAATCGACAGTTCTGGTTTCGATATCCTGTAGTTAAGTCACAGATGCGCACTGTTAAAGAGTCTCATAATAAGAAGAAACAGCTGTCTAGTACTTGCAAAGCTTTCAATCGTAATCTAACTTATATTGATTGATGATCTTGAACCTATCCAACATTCTTCATAACTCCCATAACTGATAATGAATAAAGTTATCAAAAACTAGTTTTTTTTCATAACACACTTGATCGACAAAAGGAATGGAATTACACTAAATTCTCATAGGAATTAAATCGCAGCAATTACCGAAGCGGAAATAGCATCCAATATATAAAAGCAATTTTTAAAAAAAGCTACGAGACATTAAACACTGAAACAGCAGCAGCGATTCGCAAGATGGATTGATCATTGTAATAAGGTTCATTGACAGATTTAGATTTTCCACTTCAAGTCAAACAAAATAATCTGAATCAATGGCTGGAGAATTTAACAGAAATGGGTCAAAATCGATTTGAGTCAGTAAGATACATCCAAGTTTTTTATATATTCCTCTGAACCTATAGTTTGTACTCTATGTTCTTTATATTTCGTTGTTTGCTATCATTGATACCTACTATCATTTCATCTTCATTGATTTAGTCGCGTAGTTATGTTGTAAGGTGAGCTGGACTAGGATGTTGAACATTTTTATATCAAATTATGAATGATTACTAATTAATAAACATTATTAGTCCTTGAGTAGGTTGAGATACACGATTAGTCTAAAATGTTCAAGCTGTAAAAAAGCATGAATAAAATCTGGCTTCTTTGAGAACTAATTTAAACTTATCCTCTTAGCGGGTATATTTATAGTTGTGATTGTAATCGAGCAGTCATGCATTAAAATAACAAAATACTGTGATGTAAGATTTTAAGTATAGAATGAAGTATATCTTATAAAGATTAATACGTTTCGATATAATCTAACCGGCAGTCAATCAGCTACGACGAAGGACTTCGTACGCACATACATCAGTTCGGGTTGCCATACCAAATGTGTTATGAATTACCAATCACCGATAGCCTCAGTCAGTTCGTACAACTTCGTACGTACGTACGTAATAATTTCAGGTTGCTATACCACATTCGCACAGAGACGCAGTTGTCGATTCAAATTCTAGTGATAGAGTGTTGTAATCGCTTGCTTATATAATTCCCGACTAAATTCTATCGCTTAGTATTCTCTGACCACAATACACTGGACAAGTTCCGAAGAATCAAAACACGGTTGAACAGGAAAAGATTATTTTCCAAATAGAAAGGTTAAATGGAATAAGAGACGAAGGCGAATGCAAAAATAGACACAACGTTAGTTTATTTATAGCATTTACATGAGAAGCTTCTGGATAGAAATTCACGTGATCGAATGGATTAGATTTAACCAATGAGCACGCAGCTAACAATACGAGAATTTTCTACCCTGTTCTCCAAGAATCGATCAGGCGCTGATCGGATAGGAAATTAGCCAATCAGCGCGTAGCAACGTAGCCATGCTTTAATTCCATGTCCCACTAACACAGAGGCAGTAGAAGTATGAGCGGTAATGGAGATTAGGGTTCGCAGATATTATTCAAGAAGTATAGTCCAGTGAAATAAATCTAGAAAGAGAAAGCTAATGAGGAATCCAGAGGATTAGAATTTATGAGAAAAAAAGAACGGGTGTACCTGCGCTATTGCCAGCGATTTCGAGACATGTCACTGGAAGTCTCTAACCATCGGTTACTATTGTCTCGCGGACCCCAACCAGGTATTCTACATCTATTAACATGGCCCAGCCCATTTGCTAATGACTTCGTGGATTTGTGCAATGTTTTGATTTGGCCGCCCTTAGCTTTCTTCCGGCCTACTACTCCTACATTAGACACATCTAACTGACAAGTCACTAACTAATAACTGACATCATTTCCAAATAGAGATATAAGTAATGAATAATTAAAAAAAGGAAGTGATCATTCTTAATAAATCATGCTTACCTAAATACATTTGTACATTGATATCATCTGATTTAAATAAATATTGAATGGTCATATCTATATTGAACAAACTTGATGTGAATAAACGTCGTAACCAAGATGATGAATTGGAATCGTTGAGTAGGACGCACTCATCTAAAATGAAACATATGTTAAGAATAGTTATCAGCTATTACTTCACGGATATTTAAAATAATTTTGTAGCTATTAAGTTTAATTTTTTTCATAAGTAAAAATAACTGTGACTTGTCACTGAAGTAAATGCTTACAACTTTGAAACCATTTCATATGATCTACTTTAATAAATCAGATAACATGTCTAGATTTATTTTATTCGCTTATTTAAAACACAAATATTGGTACAATATTGGTACGATATACATATATATGCGCCACGCAATAAAAGTGAGGCTGTGAAGAAACAGAGGAAAAACGATAAGTATAATAACAACAAAAACAATGGATGTAAACTAGTGTATGAGAGTAAATAATCTTGAAAGAGAAACAATTCAGTTAGGGAAAATACAGTGAAAAAAAATCCTTTCAATTAAAGTTCCTGAAGAAAAGAAAATAAAGTTACGGCAGGATCGCTACTGGCTTCGATTCCTAGCGACATCTGATAACGTCTCAAGCCACTGAGTCGCAGCATCTCTATGATCCCAACCAGGGAATCGTGAAGGACCAACAGATGCCAGTCTTGTACAGTTTTATTTTATATCGCAACACCATGTTATACACTGACCACAACTTCGCTTTTTCGAACCAGCCCCGGCATTGGCAAATAATGCACGATGTGGAGTTCGCTGGGACGACATTCGCAGTACATTTTTTAGCCCCCGAAGTCAGTGTTTTAAAATGACAACACTTGGATTGTTGTCAGTTTCCGAACACACGTTATTGAACTTCTGCATTACTAACATAGTGTTGCCACTGAATATCAGCAATTCTTCGGTAACAACAGTGATCGAATACAGAAAACTTTCTAATGTCTTCAACTCGGAGAGCATAGAGAAAAACTGCTTTAATCGACACATTGTAGACCCGACCTTTTACAAACAGACTAACACCAGGATGATACCAAAGATAGCTCATATTGGTTTAAGCCGCTATTGCTTTCACTATACGTGAATCAGAACTGGCTCTTCTAGACTGGATCTCAGTAGATAGTTGCTTGTGCGCTGTCCGACTGAACGGGACAGTAACGACTTGGAAAGACAGGGACATTGACCATTGCCTCTAAGTCGTATCTGCCTACGCTCCCACTGACTGCATATCAGACGAGATAAAAATTGAGCTTTACAGGAACCTTTCTAACCTTCTTCAAAAAGTTAAGCGCTCTGATGCGATAATAATGGCTGGTGACTTTAATGCTCAAGTAGGTAGAGTAGGTCAGAAAGAAAGACACCTGGGTGGATCTAATGGTGTTGTGACTCAAAGACCAGATAATGGCGACCGCTTGTTGCAACTATGCTCGGATAATCGCCTATTTCTAGCAAACACTAACTTTAAGCATAAGGAAAAACATCTTTTGACCTGGCGAACCCCAAAATCGTCTCAACGTTGGACACAACTAGATCACATCGCCATCAGCCACCGATAGAGAGGCTCGATAGAGAACTGTCGCTCATTCTGAGGCACATGTTTAGATTCAGATCATGTCCTAGTGTGAGAGCGTATTTGTTTGAAGCTTACTGGGCGTAGGAAAGACACGGTAAGGAATCCTCTTAGGGTTTTACTTAATGATAATAGGGCGAAGAATATATTTCAGGAGCAACTAGAAAGACAGTTAGGCGACCATGTAAGTGATTCTCATCTGGAGGCAGCTTGGAATGATATCAAAAAGGCTGTGGAAACAGTAGTGATAGCTGCTAGTAAGGTAAACCATAAGTCTAGGAAGAAGCCATGGATCTCAGTAGCATCCACCGAACTAATAAACGCTCGTAAACTCATCCCTCCTGACTCTGAACATGATGAAGAGCGAAGTCAGATTAGGCGCAGGCTGATAAAAAGGATAGGAATAAATAAATATATAAGCGAAATAATGTTACAAATGTTAACAAATGATTTTAAGTATAATTTGTGGGTTTAGTCGAGCATGAAATTTTCCCGTCATAGTTTGTGAGTGGGCCACGTTACTGCCCATGTGCCCAAACAGCAATGGGTGATCTTCTTAGGGGACTACTCGAGCTTTTGACGCAGAGGTCCACAAGACACTTGCTTTTTATCATCTCAATTTCGCAGAAAATAGCCATGACATGAAAAAGCAATGAGTAGGACTTGACTCAGGCTAAAAGTTTGGGTCTAATTTAATATCGTGTAACTCAGTACCAGTTTACAGGTCTATGCTCATAACTATGAGCTACAAATCTTGTGAAGGATAATAAAACTTCCGAACTAAAAAATTGGTTTGGTTTGGTTATCCATGAAGTATAGTAGCTTATGCAAAGATTCTAATAACCATAAATAAAGAACGTTAACAGGGCCCGAGAAACAAACACAATGACAGACTAGACTGATGAAAGGGAGTTTAATTCACGTTAACTCATATGTTTGTAATGTTCTTATCCATGCGATTACGAATCTTTTTCATGGTTATTTTAAACTCAAACCTCTCCCAGTAGGAGTGGTCGTGAGAGCTACGAAAAACGACTTTATCTCTTAACAAAGACTAAAATGAAGCCAGGTAGTATAGTTCAAAGTGAGTAGCTAGCAGGATAGTGTTTATTCGTCATTTCTTTCTACACCCCTACAAACAGAAAATGGTAGTATTCCCGCAAACTAAATCACGTTTTAAAGCAAAAACGCAAATTTATGATCAGTAATACATGGTTTTCAGATCATTTTCATGATGAAGGTGATGACTGAGGTCATCTGTAGTTATACGAAACAAGTGAGTTGTGAGATCTAGTCTTAAGTAAACAATCTAAACATTTTACTGTCGATTGGATTAGAAATGAGTAAAAACATGTACTGAACTTAGATATAACACTTTCCTATCACAGTTTAAAGAACACGAAACAGAAAATACCTATGATCCTACTAAGTTTTAAGTGTTTAACAACTTTCTATTAGCAAAACTACAGGAAAAAATAATCAGGAAACAACGTAGCACTGTGAAATGTGAACCTGTGGAAAGTTTTGTTTCAGGTTTGAGTTAGACAACTAACTTGTGTTGCAAATTTTTTGATGAGTTTTAACAGTAATCAAAGGAGGGATTTTCACTAACTCCCAAAACCTGAGACTTGGCCACATGAAGTTCTTGAATGACAGCATTACCAAACAAAAAGTTAAGAAGAGGGGTAATATAAGTGCCCAGGTGAACATAAACTTTAAGCGTACGTTTGGAATCTAGCTAATATGAAATCCATAAAATGAAAATGAAATCCATAAAAGAAAAGACGAAACTATGAAAAAATCGATTTGCAGTAATATTATTGATGTGACTGACTTACTTTTACTGTCGTGACAACAGCAAGTGGTCCTTTCTGTATTTTGATCATTTTTATCGGAGCAGTTGTCGCCAGAAGATAATTTATTACTGGCTTCACTATGTAATTCGACAACTGGAAATGAACTCTCAAGTTTTGGTGCATTTACATCTGATGGATCTATAGGAGCAACCTCTAACTCTGATTTTTCTGGTAATTGTTCTGAATTATTTACTCTACATGCGCTTCCGAGACGGTATTCCGAAATATCTGGCATCGATATGTATTAAGTATAAATGCCAACAATTTCAAGGTTTAAAATGATCACACACACCGAATAATGTTACTATGTGATTACTGTTTGGCAAGAACTGTGATAAAACATGATAATTATGAAATCTGAATAGCTGTAGTACAATATATCCACAAAAAATTATAGACAATGATCTAGTATCTAGCTTTCAAACAACCCGCGATTGGAGTAGCCTTAAGCTTGTACTGAGGTGATTCGAACAAACCGTGAATTATTCATTTTGGAGGTTATTTTGAAATTTTGCGGAATGTCGTTGGAATATGCTCGTGTTGGTAATATTGAAGATATAACGTCAAGTAATTTTATTCCACCTTATTAATGTACATACAGTTGGTTCAACCACCAGCTTTTTACAAGCTACAGCAGCTGAGGTTAGGTCGACAAGGGTAAACTGGCAATCTTATCTTCAGTAAGTTCATAGCATATATAATTTGGGTTCAGAGGACAAATAATTAATGATGAACAATACTCATTTATTACACGACTTGATAATGCTCCCACTGCAGAAGCACGAAATCATGTAATTAGAGCTGATGAAAATATGGTGAGTTGTTCAGCTGTAATTGGTCGTTAGACTGCTAGGGTTTTTATATTTATCCTGAATAAAATTTCGAAAGAACAAACGTTACGATATATCCTTACACTTATTGACGATACACTTCAGGTTAGTTATCGATTTCACTAGACATTGATTTGTAGGAAGATAAATTGCGTGTTGAAATCTTTCGTGATTACTTCACCAAGTCGAAAGAATCACTCTGGTCTCACTTTTTCGGATTTTTTCAAAGAGGAGATCCTTTCTGTATGTACCAAGCCTCCCGTATAATAGCAAAGTTTGCATGTTGGTCTTCTCAACTGATGGAGGAGAATGACTTGATTTATTACTTAAATTGGCTACGTGAACAACTGACGATAACAGTAAGCCTTTTTTCACTAAGCAAAGTTGCACATGCAAAATACTTGTTATACAAACTTGTGTTTTAAAGACAACCCCAGTTGCCTGTGTCACTCCTGTTAAAGTAATCTGTGGGTGTAACGTCTTCAATAAGTCAACTTAGGGTGAGGACGCTAGTGGTAGTAGGATCCTAAAGTTGATGACACGGTTGAAAAACCAATTTTCTTGGCTTTCAAACTTTTCTGATCCATTTGAATCAGAAAAGAGCATACATTTGACCTAAAATCACTACTTACTACCTCATACATACGAAATCATCGTAAAACAGCAAGTTTTTTAGCTTCTCAAGCCACTCGTCATATGGTAACCGATAAAACTTGCGATTTGCAAGGAAACCAGTCCAGTGTGCTATTTCTGAAAGATCTGGGTAACTTTTTTAATAGTCAGCGAACCTATGCACAATTTTCTAATTTGGATCTCACTAAGACTGCTTCAATTAGTCATGATGAACATAGAGTCTGGAATAAATATTGATTGTCGATGCAAGTCAGTTGTGAACTTATCATCTGACGATATTGGAAATTTAACACGAAATGTTGTGTTTCTGACCAGTCAAGCCATACAGCTGTGTTAATCTATTTTCATACATATAGTGTACACAATTTTATTTAGCAATCCTAATACTAATACACGTTTCAGTCAGTCGGTATTCTCGTCCTACCTTTACTCTGTAATTTAATTTTTATCTATGTTCATATTTTGAGCTATGCAACACCTGCTTCTGTTCAGATAATCAGGTAGTCCCACTCATTGTACAACCACGACGGCTCAAAGCACATGATAAATGAATTGCTTAATTTCATAGATTGTATTCATTATTACTGACTTTCTGAAAAGCTTAGTGAGTTAATGTTTGTTCTTATTATTTACAGAATAATCAGTATGATCTGACTGTGGCTCGAAATCTTCAAATGATGCTTCGTATCAGGGAGTACCGTGCTCAGTTTGCTAAAGTCGGAGGAATTGAAACGTACGTTTATTTGTGTTGTTGTTTGTTAGTTCTTATTTGTTTATATTTTCTGCGCTGTTATACAGAAGATTGAACCTGCTAAAAGCCTCAGGAAAATATGTTTATTTCGTTTAACGTCTAGTAGCTTAGTTTTCAATTTACTCAACTTTCAACTAATAGGTTACAAGTTCGAGTCGCTCTTCACCTACCTAGGTTTGGGCACATTTTTATTATCACTAACCCTCACACAGTGTAGCTCAAAGCCTAGAATATAAATGGGTTTAGGGCAGTGTGATTACATCTGTTAGATTATCAAAAACCGTTGCTAACAGTACTATAAGATAGTTCATCTCATTTTAAAGTATATGTGTCCAAGGTTTTAAGTTGCTGAGATAAATGTTTAGTTCTCCTGTAAATCTTTTTAAAACTGTTCGAAAAATACTTATATATTGTTGGGATTGAATCTTTGGTTTACCATTTATGACTTTCTGGAAATCCGAAGTCGCATTATAAGTTTCAGCCCATTTTTGTTCTAAGTTGCAACTGACCGAGCTGAGCTGAACTGAGTGTTATCCCTCATCTTAACACAGCTGCTTTGACTTATATTGTGACACACCAATCTTTTTATCTCTGAATTGAATTTCACCCTGATATCAATAAAAGTAAGCAAAGCTATCTTAAAATGTTTCCTTATTTATCTACGATCGACTAATATTTCCCGAGTGCTATTTTATATATACACTTAGTATGGATTGTTTTACTATCAAGTATGGATATGAACGGGTTATATTTTGGTTTTTTGTGGATTTCAACTAGCTAATGTTTTCTGGTAGCGTCATTCAACTATTAGCTTGTTTCTATTTGCTCCTATTGATGCTACCTTCGTCTAGTGGTAAGCTTTGTCTCTCACATTTCAGCTAAGTTAGAGTGGTTGTTACTCAAGATTCTGTCATGCTCTGTAGGTCAATGGACCAGCACTAAGATCAAAAGCAGCTATGTTTATATCAGAGGACTTAGCTTTACTGCCGACTAAATTAGCCTTAAATATATCGCACAAAAAGCCTGTATCTCCAATAATTCTATCCTATCACGAATAGAAGATTTAAGCAAAGGTCAGCTGTTAAAGATCATTCTTTTGATTCACTTGCTTTTGGAGTTAGGAGCAAGTTTTATAAATATGGAACTATTACTATAAAGAGAAGTAATGATTAAGTTTATTGACTGCGTTATTTACTTTGAAAGTGTCGTTACACCTGAAAGAAGTGCTGAAGAATTTCCATGCAAATGCAAGCATCAAGCCCCAATTTTCCCATTTCGTGCTATCTGTGGTGTAGACGAGTTGTGCACCTACATATCAAATTGAGTATTCCGTCTAGGAGCTCTCTATGAAAGTAAAAATCATTAATGCTTGGGGATGATTGCATGTATGTGGTGATATGATGTAGTAAGTGTTGGGAAGTCTAGATGTATGTTAAGTCTAGATAAAGTGCCTAATTTATTTACTGAATTGTAACAACCACTCAACTAAACTGATTATGCCTACTAGCTAAAACCTCTTACGTTATTTATAGAAGTTTTCATGTCATGTGTGAAACCATGTTTAAGTACTTAAAGTAATGCTTCAATTCCTCACTAAATTTCATACAAAATATCATATAGCTCTCAGTAAAATAATTATATCTCGTCTATTACAATATGTTCTTTTATACACATAGTAAGCTAAAAAAAGTTTTTACATATCTTATTAAAACATTTCACTGTGTGAGTGAACATCATCTCTGAGATTCAAATCAATCCAGCTACAAACGAGTCTCGAATAAGACGGAACGCGCGTCCTAAATTCCGCTACTGGTCACATCAAATCCATTTAACTTTACTGTCGCATTTACTTTTCATTTTCATCAAAAGTATGCCACTGAACCCTCATTTTGAATACCCACAATTTAATTCATTTTCCCCATTACCTACATACGCCTATTAACCCTCGTGGAGCATAAACTATCAACCAGCAGTCTCCACCCAACTTTCTCCTTGGCTCTTTTTCAGTTGTTTCCAATTGTTGTTCATTCTCTTCATGTCTGTCTCCGATTCTCGGGTAGTTTTTTCTTTGGTTTGACTATTTTCCTTTGACTTTAAGGATTCCAATTTACGGCTTGCCTCATGATACAGTTTGGTTTATCCACTTCCAGCGCTTCTTCCTGATTTCTTCCTCAGATGGAAGCTGGTTTAGGTTTTTTTTCCAAAGTTAGTTGTTACTAGTGATTTCTGTCCAATCAATTCGCAGTATCTCTTACGTAGACAACTGTTTGTATATACCTGTATTTATATTAATAATTTGGATTGGATTTGTCTTTTTTTTCATTTTTAAAAAAGCATTGGAGATGTTTTGCAAGAAAAGTCAACTAGTCGTCAATTACAATATCAATTAATTTTTTGCTTATGGTGTATGAGTTTTGATTCAAGTCATGTAACTGATATCTGTAAGAACTCTGCACTATTAGCCACAGTAGCTGATATTTTCCTTGAAGCAGATCGTGAAAAAATTACTAGAATTTCATTGGCATTCTTTCGTGTAAGTTAGTTGAATTTTTAATCAATTCACGTCGTTATTGCTTGCTAATATGGTCTTTTGTTTACTGCTATGCTTTTTAAACGTATACTTACTTATTTACGCCTGTTACTCCCAGTGAAGTGTAGGACGGCAACCAGTTTCTGGTTAACGTTTTTTAGCGAGTTACTTTTCTACGTAGTGGGTTAGCTAACCCCATGCCCGATCCTCCTCCTTTATCCGGGCTTGTGACCAGCAGTAAACCCAGAGGAGCTCGAGGCGAAGTTTTTTTTAAAACTTATAATATTCAATATGTTTATATATATATATATATATATATATATATATATATATATATATATATATATATATATATATAGCATATGTCGTAATTTTGTCTTGGTAGCTTAATTAATCCGTGAATTAAAGTTTCAAATGGTCTGAACGTCTCCATTTTTTGTCCAAACAGTGTTCTCCATACAAATGTATGAGAGAAGCGTTAACATAATGAGACCATTTCTTATTGAAATATAAATAGATACTATACCCTAGTCTTCTGCATTACCGCAAATGCTTTTACTACATCTACCACTATGGGATTTGAATTGACAATTCAATCTCTGTTTGTTAATGTGGTATAGCAACTTGGACTGATGTACGTACGTACGTATGTACGAAGTTCTTCGTTGTAGCTGACTGACTGACTGAAATAGATACTATCCTTTATTTTATGATGTTTGGCTTCACTAAAATCTCACTGGCTCATTAAAAATGTTTTTTTTTCATAGAAAATAAATGCTTCTCTTGCCATCTTTGTATCATAGCTGACAAAAATGTTTAGTTTTATTAAGAAGCAAATATTACTGTACATGCAAGTTATCTTAACAGACTGATCTACGAAAACTACAAAAATACTATTATTATTATTTTTTATAGTTTCATGGTGTAATCCACTTGATAAGTTGGATTACTTACCATGTACGAATACAAACTTGTACAAGTATGTACTTACTTACCTACTTACTTTCGCCTGTTACCCCCAATGGAGCATAGACCGCACACCAGTTTTCTCCAACCAACTCTGTCCTGGGCTTCCCTCTCCAGTTCTGTCCAGTGTTTGTTCATTCCTCACATATCTTTCTCTATTTCTCGGCGTAGTATGTTCCTTGGCCTTCCCCTTTTCCTTTTGCCTTGAGTGTTCCATGCGAGGGCTTGTCTCGTGACGCAGTTAGGTGCTTTTCGTAGTGTGTGTCCTATCCACCTCCACCGCTTCTTCCTGATTTCCTCCTCCAATGGAATCTGGTTTGTTCTCTCCCACAGTTCGTTGTTGCCGATGGTGTCTGGCCAACGTATCCGAAGTATTTTGCGTAGACAACTGTTCATAAACACTTGTATCTTCTGGATGATGGCTTTGGTAGTTCTCGAAGTTTCCGCTCCATACATTAGAACTGTCTTGACATTTGTATTGAAAATCCTGATTTTGGTTTTTGTTGAAAGTTGTTTGGAGTTCCAGATATTTTTCAACTGTAGAAATGCAGCCCTCGCTTTGCCGATCCGCGCCCTCACATCTGCATCGGATCCACCTTGGTTGTCGATGATGCTGTCCAGATATGTAAAGGTGTTAACTTCCTCCAAGGCATCTCCATCAAGAGTGATTTGATTGGTGCATGTTGTGTTGCATCGAAGAATTTTGCTTTTTCCTTTATGTATGTTGAGACCTACTGTTGCAGAGGCTGCTGCTACACTGGTCGTCTTCTCTTGCATTTGTTGTTGCGTGTGCGATAGAAGAGCCAAATCATCTGCGAAGTATGATGTATGTAATTGTATATAATTATGAGAAGCAATAATACCACAGGTTGTAGTAGACAAAATTAGTGAAAGAAAACATAAAATAGAAATCATTTATATCAAAGTGTTTCAAACTATGGTGTCTTTTTCTTCCTCTGAGTTCTAGGACAAGTCAGTATTGGACTGTCCTTCAAGCTTAGAATAGCAATTCTCTCATCCTTGTTCAATATCGACTACTTAAAGGTTGTCTCCGCGTAGGAGTCAGTGCATGTGTGTGTTGTGCTTCATGGAATTAAGTTTTGTTCACATAATATTGTGGTGTGAGCTACTTATAAGTAGTATATGACGTGAGTTTCAACCTAATGTCTGGCAGCAGAAGATGGGGGAAGATCAAGAAAGGAAGAGTTAGAACACAATGGAATTTGTATGAAATGCATGAATAGTGACAATGGATTGATGTTTTGCAACAGGAACAGTCCAGTTCGATATGATGGACTGATATTTTGCAAATGAACGATTTACAATATGGTTTTCCAATTTTACTGAGTAACTCTGTAATTTTCGCTAAATACAATTCGGTTGCCCCACCTGTGTTCTCCTTCACTACAATATCACTTGATAATCGACTCAAAGTTAATATCAATGAACAATGAATTTTATCTCTAAGTATTATTGACGTCTAGCCGATTGCCTTTAATTATTCAATAGTTGAGGTTTTCTATACGATAATAATTCTCAAGTTAACATTTCATCCCATCTATTCAACTACTGATCAGTATTCATTTTAATCTGTTCAAAGTCTTAAACTTTAAGTGAAATTTATTTCTTTCTTTTGTTCAATAATATTTTTATTTCAAAATAAAAATTGTTTTATTATTTTTTTTTATAGAGTGTTTTAGAAAAATTACCAACAATTACTGAACAACGAGATTGTGGCTTACGTTTAGTTCAGTATAAAGTGTTGAAAGAATTAGAATTGCTGAGTCAAAAAGATTTTAGTCATGATCCAGAATTAACTGAAGATATTGCATTTTTAAATGTAAGTCTCCTCTTTTTTTTCTGTTTTTTTTCATTGTAGCATTTCATGTTAGACCATCATTAGAAACGTGGGAGTGGAGAATACTCACCAGTAGTGCGTATGCGTGACTCTCGCTCGCGCAAATCGAACCCAGAACCTCCTACTATCGCTACCACTATTGGATTTGAACTGACAGTTGCGTCTCTGTGCTGATGAGGTGTGGCAACCTGAACTGTTGTACTCATGTACGAAGTTCTACGTTGTAACTGACTGACTGCGGGTCCGCGAGATGATAATAATCGATGGTTAAAGACCCTGAATGACATGGCTTAAAACACTCTGCAATGGCGCAGATGCATTCATTCTTTGTGTTCTCTCAAATCATAAACTTTTTAATTCTTCATCACTATTTCACTAGCTTCTGCTTCTTGAATAATATCTTCTAATCCTAACCTCTCTGATTACTGCTAATACCTTTACCACCTCTAGTACTATTGAATTTGAATTGACAATTACATCTCCGTGCTATTGTGGTATGGCAACATGAACTGATGTACTTACGTACGAAGTCCTACGTTGCTATTGATTGATTGTTTGACTGATTGAGAACCTTCGGTTTCACGCACGAACGCTTAACCTGTTCAGATAATCAAAATTCAATGTTGTTGTTGGTGGTGGTGTTATTGTCACTGTTCTTTGTAAATGTCAAAAAGTTGTACATTTTTGTGATTTCTAATTTTTATGAAAGACTATTTCAACAAACTTTCAAAGTTATTTTTCTAAAGTATTATTATTTACAGATAATGATTGCATAATTATTGAGTATTTCGACCTTATTCTTTCCGGATTACCCGTAGTTCCGAACTTTTATTTAAAGCCTAAATCAATAACTATTATATCAATTTCCATTCATAAACTTGAACCAATTATTTGTGTGTGTATTCATTACTTCGTTTATTCTTCCCATCAATATTGTTATTTAAGGAAAATTAGTCCCGTTTTTATAAATTTTGATAGAACAATGAGAAAACGAAGTTGATATACGAAAATGTTATGATGTATATTTGCGCTATACATTTCGAACAATTTTAAATGCAAATTAATGAAGGTTAATTAAATGAAAGTTCAAATAAGCGTATGGTGATAATTGTACTGCGCAGTAGTTCGCTCCGTCTTACTTTATGGCTGTGAAACATGGCCAGTGAGAGTAGAAGATATTCGTAGGTTACTGGTTTTCGATCATAGGTGTCTTCGAAGCATTGCTCGTATATCGTGGGACACCCGAGTGAGCAACGCTGTTATTAAGAATCGGGTGCTGGGTAAGGATGACAGATCAATAGATGAAGCATTGAAACTTCATCAGTTGAGTTGGTTGGGACATGTGTTGCGTATGCCCAACCACCGACTGCCTCGACGAGCTTTGTTTTGTAGTGTAGGAATAGGTTGGAAGAAAGTTAGGGGCGGCCAAACCAAAACATGGCATAAATCCATGAAGTCATTGACGAGTGGACTTAGCCAAGTCGGTAAATGTCGACTACCTGGTTGGGGTCTGCGAGATGATAATAATCGATGGTTAGAGACCTTGAATGACATGGCTCAAAATCGTTCGCAATGGCGCCGGTGCATTTATTCTTTGTGTTCTCTCAAATCCTAATCTTCTGGATTCTTCAACACCTCTAGTTTTGACTTTCTAAACTTTTCTCATTTAATCACACTTCTTGAATAATATCTTCTCATCCTAACCTCTCCGATTACTTCTAATACCCTTACTAACTCTTCTACTATTGGATTTGAATTGACAATTACATCTCTGTGCTAATGTGGTATGGCAAGATGAACTGATGTACTTACGTACGAAGTTCTACGTTGCAACTGACTGACTGACTGATGGTGATAATTGTAAAAATAAAGAAGAGGGAAAAAAATCAATCTGTCATCGAAAGAATAGGAAATTATCACGTTACCCTCAGGTCATAAAAATTGCTTAAGGATTGTCAGGGTAAATTCAAGGTTACGATGAATTTTTATGTATACAAAAGAAGGGTCTGAATTCGCGAATAACCAAGCCTTCTATGAACCGAAGAATTCGTCCTTGACCATTTCTGTACAACCTAAATATCTGGTTACGGCTTAAACCAGGCGTACGGAGGATCCACTTCGAAGAGTTGTAAAACTCTGATACCGAACAAACGAGCTCTAGGATGCTAGGGAAAACAACTGGCGTATGAACTTATTTGTAGGTCACTGACCACAATAGGATTGCATCTCCTAACATCATTCCATCGGCTTATGGATTAGACCTGTAAGTAAAAGGCTCGAGAAATGCCCTGCTCCAATGAAAACCACCTTGTTCGGTTTGGTCTGCCCGACAGTCCGATCAAATTCATTGATTTGTGTGGCTCATGTACATTTCGAAGTTCCTCTCACCTAGATTCATGGGTAGAGTTTAAATCGTTATTTTCATCCATTTATTTAGTTCGCCATTTTGATTACTGTTATGATTATTATTAATATTTTCTTTGCTCATTATAGATTATTAATTTGCCCTTAAAATTTTCATATAAAGTATATGAACTTTACTGTAGGTTCTATATGGCCATAGTGTGTTTCATTTATCTTGGGTTTTCTTTTTCCGACTGCCTCGACGAACTGTTTTGTGGTGTATAGGTTGTCTGGAAGAAAGCTAGGGGCGGCCAAACCAAAACATGGCACAAATCCACGAAGTTACTGACAACTGCACTGAGCCATGTTAATAGGTGTAGACTACCTGATTGGGGTCTGTGAGACAGTAGTAACTTATGGTTAGAGACTATGAATGATATGGCTCAAAACCGTTTGAAATGGGGCAGGTGGATCCATTCTTTGTGTTCTCTCAAATTCTAATCTTATGGATTCCTCATCGCCTTTATCTTTCTCTTATTAAGTTTATTTCATTGCATTGTACTCCTTGAATAATATCTTCAAATCCTAATCTTTCCTATTACTTCTCATACTTCCACTACCTCTACCACTATGTAATTTTGAATCGATAACTGCATCTCTGTGCGAATGTGGTATGTCAACTTGAGCTGATGTACTTATGTACGAAGTTCTACGTTGTAACTGTCTGACTAATAGGTTTTTTTTGTTGACATCTATTCAACTAGTCAGTGATTATTTTGTCTAGATAATCCAAATTGTAATTATCAACTTTTCGTATTATATTTTTTCAAGGAGAAATTATCAGCTAGTATTCAAGATGTCAGTAGTCTTGATGAATATTTGTCCGAATTAAAATCTGGTCGATTAGAATGGTCACCTGTGCATAAATCAGAGAAATTTTGGTATGAAAATGCAGTGAAATTTACAGATAATAATTATGAAATGTTAAAGTGAGTTTTAGAGACGAAAAAAAATTTGAAAAAAAATAAAAACTGGTTTTCTTTCTTCATTATTCATACTTGCTTACTTATTTACTTACTTATACTTGTTACCCTTCGTGGGGCGCAGTCCGACGATCAGCATTCTCCAACCTACCCTGTCTTGGGCATTCCTTTCCAGTTCTACCCGATTGTTATTCATTCTTTCCATATCTGCTTCCAATTCTCAGCGTAATGTGTTCCTTAGTTTGACTCTTTTCCTTTGGCCTTAAAGATTTCAAGTTATGGCTTACCTCGTGATGCATTTGAGTGACTTCAGCAATGTGTATCCTATTTTGCGTAGACAACTGTTAATTAACAACTGCATCTTGGGAATGATGGCTTTTGTAGTTTTCGAAGTTTCCACTCCATGCAATAGGACGGTTTTGGCATTTGTATTGAAAATTGTGACTTTGGTGTTGGTTGACAAGTTGTTCTGAGTTCCAGATGTTCTTCAATTGTAGAAATTCTGTTTCAATTTTTAAAAAACCCGACTAAATTTTTATGATAGCAGTAACGTAGTCCAAATATTAAATTTTGTTTTCGAACTCCATTCTACCCACCTATGTAAGTTTTAAAGCTTGAATAATTTAGTCGTGGCATCTCAGACACTTGGTAATGAAGGTCGATTAGTCTAAACTTTATGGTGATGGTTGGAGGTAGTCGACACTAAAAGACCCTGTTTGGCCTAGGTTTTGTGCTACTTAGCATTTGTCCGTAAGTTGTACTTGTTGATACTCCCTGACGGATTCGATCTCTTGTTACCCAGCTTCACAGTCAGGCTCGAACAGCTCAGTGGTAATGTCCTCTGACTTTGAATCTGGATGACATGGGATTGAATCCACAAGAAAGCATCAGTTCCCTCAAAATTACGAGTACACCTTGTTAATGAGTGCTAAACAGCACGAAACCTATGTCAAGCAGAGTTGTTTCTTGTCGACTTCCTCGAACCACCACCTTAAATCTCAACATAGTGCACGCATTTTCAAGTCACCTTAACTAATGGTGATATGCTTGAACTATTACGAGTTCAATTTATTCGGTGAACGAAGCAAAGACAACTGATGCAGTGACACGATAGGCTATTCTAATCCGTTTGTCCCTGGCTCTGCTAACTATATCAAGAAGTCTTGATAAGGCGTAGAAAGTGTATTCTAAAAGCACCCAGAAACTACGAGGTCAACAAGCATGGATCACTAACTCAATTTTTCTTCGATCCAATTTTTTTTATAGTATAAACCTATTTTTAATTGTAATGATCGATTAAATATAACCAAACACTATGTATGTACTTTCATTAGTCTTCTATTTTCTGTTTTTTTCTCTTCTCTCGTACAGTAAATTTTACATTACAAGTTTACTTGTGTTTTATAAATTCTCCATGTAAATAAGATTCTTACTTGGTTTGTTTTTTATTTATTTTACTATTTAGGATGTTAGTACGACTAATCGAACTGGGTACTGATCCATTAACATTGTGTGTAGCTGTACATGATATTGGAGAGTTTGTAAGACATTATCCACGTGGTAAACAGTAAGCTCATTATTCAATATTACTATGAGTGTTTTTAGCATTGATATTAACTACTGAATTCTTAATGCAAACTATGTTCTGTCTCAGTCCCTCCAAATGTCGTGGTACGACTGAGAGTGGGGAAAAAAGTCTTGTCTCTTTCGAAACGTTATCATATGGCTACTAACAAGCAAGTCCTATTTACTGCCTTTTCGTATTAAGAGTTTTGTTTACAAAATTGAGAAGACGAAAACGAATTTCTAGCGGGGGCTTAAACAGGGTAGATGGATATGGAGGATCGACCTATGAGTGTTGGAAAACCTTCATCCCAAACCAGTGGTTTATATGGGCTCCAAGATCGTAATGGAACAAACGAAGTATTAACTTAACTGTCGGTAACCGATTACCATGTGATGTGGCGTTGCTCCGCTGCCTTGTAAACTAAACCTGTAGTTGAAATGCTCGAGAAGTGGCCATCTAAGAAAATCACCTTGCTCAGTTGGAGTACCCAGTCAGTATCCTGGCCCATACACAAATTCTACAATCTGAGTGGCATTTTTGTTTATGTGTTTGAATAAAATAAAGTAAAAGACTAGCATAAATTGGAATGAACCGGTTATTTTGGAAGATTTGAACTTTCCTATTTGAATTTTAAATCGAAAATACTTGTACTGGTTACATTTGCTGGTGGACATATCACTAGCGTACTGAATAATTTATCAATCACATTACGTTGGTAATTATAAAAGTTGAATTCATAACAGTATCTGTATAATCTTATATTTTCCATTTTACGATTTCGTTATTTTGGTGTGAACTATGTTCGGAATAATTAATTGATCACTTCCATCCGCGTTATTATGGTTAGAACTTTTTTGCCTTCTATCTCAGCTACTTCCATCGTTTTTCTGTGTGGATATGAATTTTTTTTAACTTATGATGACTTTGTTCACGTGCTATTAGGAATATGTGAGTAGCTATCATTTTCCGATTGCCTACACCATAAAAGGATATGTTTTTGAGAAATTAGGTTGATAGTAATCTACACGACTCAGAAGTATGACGGTATTCCTCAAAGGGCAACTACTTAAATCTGGTCACACGGATTTTTTCGTAGTCGTTTTAATATGGCTTAGTTCCGTAATTTAAAGGCTATACCGCTGGTGGCGTAAATTCCTTAGGCCCGACCATTTCTAATAGTTTCCTTTCGTTATGAGAAGTTCACACCTTGGTTCTACTACTTTAGTCTCCAACTGATGTGCCTGACACCTTTGGACTTGAAGGAACTGCGTTTTCAGTCAGTATAATTAAACCGAATAATCACGAAAAACCACTACGTTAAGGTAGCAGCTACAGTGATGAGAATTAATCAAGGCATCCTCTTTGTTTTGTGAGTATTTACATTCCTTATCAATAACTAATCATCCACTTATTGGATAATCTTATGCTTTTTCTCATTGACAGTCAGTCATGTTATATACGTTTTTTTTATGTTGTTGAAATCAACTTTGTTATTCATTCGACCAGATCAATAAACATCACAGCTCTAAGAACATGATTATCAATAACAACTGTGTGATACTTTGTTCCTTGTGTTTTTGGTTGTTTTTCTCTCCTTTTTTGTAGAATTATTGAAACACTTGGCGGCAAACAATTAGTAATGGCTTTATTACAGCATGATGATCCAAATGTTCGTTATAATGCATTAGTTTCATTACAAAAAATAATGGTACATAATTGGTAAGTTAGTGTAGAGAAGAATGAATAAAATTCAATAAATATATATGGGAATATAGTATTTGTCATGAATAGACATTTACTACTATTGGGCAGCTGTTTAATGCTAGTTTGAAGTGTATCAATAGTATATAACACCGCTAAGGATTGAACCTAAAACCTTAAATTCTCAAGTAATCACATTACTTATTGATCTTGTAGCATGATATCTTGTTGATATTTCGTGTTAAAACGAAGAAATCAAATATTTGCCAGTAGGATTTACGAGGATGGTGTGTGTCTGTGTATTGGTGATTGATAACTACACATAAAAGAGTGAAACAGTTTGACAAACAGTTATCATCAATATGATGCTTGATATAAATGTTCGTCAGTCCAGCTTACTTTACCACATCACTCACTACATACAACAAGATGAATAGTAGAACCATTTGAAATAATCTTAGTACTGGTTATCATCAGAAAATTGAATCGTTCAATGTTAGTCCACTATTATAAACCTGAAAGCACTGAATGGCCCCTTCATCATAGTATGAGACTCATTGTCAGTAGTGTGTATCCACGATCCTACACAAGGAAATAGAACCCGGGACCTTCAATCTCGCACGCACATGTGGGGTTGAGGGTGCGCGCTACTGATGAATAGTCCTGCACTAGGATGAAATGGTCGTTCAGTTCTTCAAGGTCTCTAATGTTAATCTCACATCGATCGATTCATGATTTCAGTAAAACTCAACAATCTGCACAACCCTATAATGAAGAAAAATAATCAGAAAAACTAAATATTGAAGAATACAGTTTGAAATAATATCGAAACTCGAGACTTTGTAACAAAGAACAACTGTATTTTTGTGCGCTATTGCTAACGATTCTCACTGAATATCTCTAACTATAAGTAAGAATATTCTCAACCAAGCAAACCTGCATCTACTTGCATGGCTCAGATCGATAGTTAGTAACTTCACATATTAGTGTCATGTGTTAATTTGATTGCCCCTAACTACCTCTTTCGATAAAAATGTATAATATCTATCTAGTCGCTACTTTACGAATACAATTAAGTATAAGACTTCCAACTTTGTCTCACTGAAATTATAAACTGATGATTGTTAGACCACCAGTTGAAACCTGAGTACACTGAGCTGCGGTTTCGTCCTAGCACGAGACTCATCTACGACCCCTCAAGCGGAGACCAAACCTAAGACCTTCGGTCCTGTAAGCGAACGCCCAACCTCGTGACTACTGTGCCGGTATCCAACGGTGTTAACGTTTAACTCTAATCAATCTCCCATATTATGTGACCTCATCCATTGTGTGCTGTGCGTAGATGTCTCACACTTGACATAATAGAACTCCACTGGTCACAGCTTCTCATTAGAACTTCCAGAATTCCTTCACGAATCTAGTCGCTATTATCAGTATAGGGTTGTGGAGATTGTTGGGTTTCATTAAAATCATGAACTGATCAGTGTTAGACTACCATGATCGTTCAATATATTAGATTGATTGAAGTTATAAATTAACACTATTGGATGCCATCTTAGTGGTCAAGTGGTTGTGACTGATGAGTCCCATACTAGGCACTGAACAGCAGCTGTCCAATGCTTACAGGTTTCCAATAGTGGTCTAACATTATTAATCGGTTCATGATTTCAATGAAAGAAACTCATCGGTTTTCACAATCCTCAAATTCCAAGTATGTTTCCCGGTTAATGCACGCACAAATATCTTTCAAACTGTATAAAAAAAAGAATTAATTTCCTAAAAAAATATTATTTATTTATTTAAGGGAATATTTGGGCAAACAATTGGATTCCGTTCAAAGTACAGATGTTAAAACGACCGGAGTAAAAGTGAAATAGTCAATGTCGTCATACTGATGAAAAGAAAACATTATTGTTACAAGTCTAATTATCTGTTTATTGTTACTGTTGCTTAATATTAGATGAATATATATTTTCTTGTGTGTGTAGTCAATTGTCTATTATGATTCTTCAATTACTACTACTCTATTTACTTCAATCTATTCAAATCAAATCTAATTTAAACAAACATAAGCATAATAAATCAAACTTGTGTTCTTTGTTTTGACCTCTTCTTAAATAATGTGATTTGTTGTGTCACAATTAATTTCTCTTTTTATTTGCTATTGAAACTACGGTTCATAAATTTTTTTTCTGATAATTATTATAATTATGTTGTAATAAATTTTACAAATAAACAAGGAGGATAAACGATCTGCATTGGTTTTGTTTGTGTGTGTGTGTTTGTCTGTAAGCAGAGATGAAGAGTAGTAATAACTCTTGTAAGCCAATGGCGATATCGAGATAATTTACACAGGAAGATGCATGTATGCCAAAAGCGACAGATTAATTTCAATTTCTAATTGTCAGTGAGAAGATACAAATGAATTGAACTTCATCTCATCATTACACAAACCAGCAAGCAGTTGATCGTGTCAACCGCTTCATTTATCTTGGGAGTCTCATCAGTGCTGATGGCCTGGTTTGTGAAGAAATCTCAGCACGGATACAGAGAGCTCGATTGGCTTTCGCCATTTTGCATCACCTATGACGCAGGCGAGATATCCGTTTGCTAACCAAAGGACGAGTGTACTGTGCAGCAGTTCGCTGTGTACTACTATACAGCTGCGAAACATGGCCGATGAGAGTAGAGGACATTCGTAGGTTGCTTATCTTCGAAGCATTGCTCGTATATCCTGGGACAACCGGGTAAGCAATTTTTGTCGTTAGGATATCAGTACTAGGTAGAGATGGCAAATCAATTGATGAAGTAGTGACACTTCATCAGTTGAGGTGGTTGGGACATGTGTTGCGTATGCCTAACCACCGACTGCCTCGTCGAGCTTTGTTTTGTAGTGTAGGAATAGGTTGGAAGAAAGTTAGGGGCGGCCAGACCAAAACATGGCAGATATTCATGAAATCACTAACAAGAAACAGTCATGTTGGTGGATGTAAGCTACCTCTGGTTGGGTTCCGTGAGACGAAAGTCACCAATCGTTAGAGAGCTTGAGCGACATGGCTCAAAATCGTTTGCAATGACTCAGGTGCATCCACTCTTTGTGTGTACTTAAATGTTTAGGCGTTTATTCAAAATCCTTTTAACATCATGTTCCAGTCGTAGTATTTGTATGAATATGTTTTACTCACACGGTTCGTCCAAGCCTTTGAAGAAATTACTTTGTCCATTCTTAACGAGCTATTATTCGCACGTCTTTTGACCTTGGCAATTATTCGCTTATAGTCTTGGTTGCTTTTATTTGTGTGCATACATTGCTTACTTCACTTATCACATGTCAAGCTTATTTTTGTCTGACTGTAATTACTTACTCATGCTTCGTTGCATAGAGTTGTCTCACTCACCTTCTCCGCTTTACTTATCCTCGCATTCCAATCTTTTATCCTCATGTCTGTCTGAGTAGGTGATTGCATGAAATAAACTCAACCAACTAAATCCGTATTTATCCTCTTATTACCGCCTATGTACAAACAGGGTTCAGCTAAGCATGATATACGTAAATTAGATGAAAGATTTATTTCAAAGCATATTAAATTGTTTGCAGAATTTGGAGTCAAATTCCAAGCCACAAAACAATGTTTCGCTACAATGCTAATTGACCAAAATATTCAAGTTTATTCTACCTCCATTTTTTATGATGGTTATTTTCATTTTTTTTTTCTGATAACATTTGGCTCACTAATTGACCCTGAATGTGTAAATATTGACCAAACTGGACCAAATACACTTGCTTAACTTCAAATTCAATTATAAGATTCCATTTTATTGAATCTCATCTTTGATAATCAAATATGCAATGACATTACTAATCTGAGCATAACTTCCACGTAAATTTATTGACCTTCAATATGAATTAATTTTACAAATCAATATTTCGTTCAATTTTAATTATAATGTTTTAGTTCATGATTAAAATCGAAAATGATTTGAAATTTATTCATTTGATAAACTATAATCAATAATGTAAATGTAGTATTATGAATCAATGTTCAATTGTTTGAAATGCATGATTTGTATGTTGTGTACACCATTCAAAAATTGATTTTAATCAGTTTCTATGTTACACATTCATTGATTGATTGATTTTTCACTGTGTTCAGTAGTGTATTTTATATTATACTAGAATAAAATGAATTTCATTGTAATAATCATGAACTAACGTAATATAAGACCATCTGGCAGCAATGGACAGCCGTTTTGCCCTAGTATGGGACGCATTAACAGTACGCATCCACGAAAATGCGAATCAAACTCAAGACCTCCATTCCTACCAGAATTCCATGTTGTTAGTGTCTAACTTCAAACAATTCATGATATTGTACGATCCTGTCAGTAGTCTATTATTGATTTCAATGAAACTCAACCATTTTTCATAATCCTATAATGATAAAAATGAGTGTCCTTTTTAGAGACCACAAATATATTGTCTTTTTTTTTCTTTCTTGATCAATAAGAATGAGAGAAAAATTGACTATACTATGTAATGCAAATAAGCAGCTAAATAATCAATATTTGCTCTTTATTGAAAACTTTTTAAAACAATGTTTACAAGTGAACTTTACTTTTAATCATGTTGTATACAACAAATATCAGAGGTGTTAATTATGCTTGTAATTATCATAGTACATACACTACGACTGATAGTAAATTTTATTTAAAAACAAAAACAAATCAAACAGATTCACACTTTGAATTGTTTACCTTTATCCATTTGTTATTGATGTACGTTGTTTATTGGCTAATAATGACGAATGAATTCAAACAAATTTTTATCCTGAACTGGATACTTTAATTCTAGACTGCATAACGCTATCAATTACGTGCACAATCATTCACGTCAATCATGTACCAATAAAGTATTTACTACAAAATGATTTAGCTATTATCGAATAATTACGAAATTGTCTTTATAGTATTGGAGAATAGTATTATTCAAAAAAAAAATGATGAATGTTTCAGTGCAAAACCATTTAATTCATAGAATGTGACATCAATAAACTCATCTGTAGATTATCGTATGCTCATAGAAAATAGTTTGAACTGAATATAAACTTCAGTTTAGAAAGTATTCATTTGTATTCTTTAAATCTTTTTCTATAGAAGACAGAGAATAAGATTATCGTATGCTCATAGAAAATAGTTTGAACTGAATATAAACTTCAGTTTAGAAAGTATTCATTTGTATTCTTTAAATCTTTTTCTATAGAAGACAGAGAATAGGATACAACATTAATAGTAGGAATGTTGATTATAGACTGGCTAATCCGTAAGTGTTTAGCTTGTCCAGCGCGTGAATTTATGTAATTGTATTTTGTATACAAACTAGTTATGCCCAGAAATATCTAGTTCTTACTCTAATACCTATATGTATAGATCAGTACAGAATTCAGGAAGAACCATGTGATTACAAACAAATGTATTGTATTTTGAATTCGGTTTAGGCGCGGGAAAATCATAACTCACCATTACATCTGCAATACTTTAATCGAATATCCAACTTCATATGGCTTTTTATACATTTTTAAAAATATTTCATTGAACGCATTGATTTTACACGTTAGTAGGTGTAGACTATCTGGTTGGGGTCAACAAGATGATGATACTAAACGATGATTAGAGATTCTGAATGAAATGGCTGAAAATCGTTTGCAATGACGCAGATGTATTGATTCTTTTTCTTCTCTCAAATTCTAATCTTCTGAATTCCTTCCTCATCACCTTCATCTTTCCCCTTATAAATTTTATTTCACTAGATTATAATTCTTGAATCTTAATTTCGAACCTTTATTTCCTCCGTTACTGCTGATACTTCTGCTGCTGTGGAATTTGAATTGACAGTTGTATCTCTGTGTGCTAATTTGGTATGGGAACTTGAAATTGTAGTGATTTCATTGTTACGAAGAAAAACACGATTGGTTAAATAGCAACATGCACTATTATCATCAATTGTACTAGCAAACGAATTATCAAATATTTTTTTATTAGTACTTTTGTTTTACGCAATGACTTTTGTAACTTTTGTTTTTATACTGATATAACACTACAGTTTCGCTCTTTTGTTTTCGGTCGCCATTGTTATTTGGCTGCTCTGTATCTTTACTTATCCTTTGGCACGTTTCCGTTTTTCTTCCGTACAACGAAATAGCCAGAGAGTACACCTATTTTATCTGGTCTATCCCATCCTCCTCTTCCTTCCGACAAAAGATCTGGGATAACATGTAAGACCCGAAATTAATTAGTATATAGGCGTGTTTCTAGTTTCGTAACTCAAACAACCATAAACTAATGTACGTACGTCCAAAGTTTGACATCGTAGCTGACTGACTGACATTACATCAAACGATTGTATCGACTTCTTTAGATCCAATATTTTTTTCAGGAACTAGTTTAAACCAGTTGATTTCTTTCCGCTCGATTCTTGTTCTTTCGGTACGGTTCCAGGTGTTCGGTAGTTTCCAATGAATGGGGGCCTAGCCACTCGACTGTCTAATTCTAGTCAGTTCGCAGTTGGCTGTGAGTTTGTATGTCTCGGGATTTGAATGAAACGTTTGTTTCAGGGCAGTAGGGTTTCTGGATACTAGCAGCCGCCACATTACCAAACCGGAGATCAGTTAGTTGCAATGTGGAGAGTAATAAGGGTAAGAAGGATAAAATTAAAATGATAATATGAATAAAATTTCAGAACTGAGTAATATATAGATGAATTTAGTTTGTTAATTGGTAGTGAAGATTGTGAGAGAGTACCGTAGTGTAAGCAAAGGACAGGAAACAAAGATAATTAGCGAGATAGAATAATTGAGTGATCTGAGGAGATGACAGTGATAACAACTAGCAGGTCTCAAGATATGCATCATGAACAGCTTGTCCAAGAGGGAGATGATAATCCGTATGTGAGTACGTGATTATCAAGTCTCTTCTTAAAGCAGTCCACTGAGAGGGCTGTAACTACCTCGGCTTGGAGAGCATTCCAAGTTGCAACGACTCGCAATGAGAAAAAGTGTGCACGAATCTGAGTATTTGCTCTTTGATGTGCAATCTTTCGAGGATTGCCTCGAGGGGAGTGGTGGTGATGCATCGGTAAGATGCTCACATTGGGATGGTTTGGCGTGTTTAATATGGTGTACGCCATAATCAGGTCACCTCTGATTCTCCTGTAGCTCAGTGGGAATAATCTCAAGCGCTGTAGTCAGTC